CTCTACCTCCGAGGGGACTAAGTATCCTCGAGCTACTTGTCCCGCGACTGGACTTGCTGAACGAGGAGGGGTCGCTACCCTTCCTCTCCTGAGGATGCGCCCCGCTCCAGTCGGATGGGCTCATCCTTTCTACTTGTCCGAGGTCGCTTCCTGCTGAAGCGACCTCGAACCTTCTGATCGTCCGAGGTCGCTTGTTGCTGAAATGACCTTGAGCGCTTTGCCTCGCGAGTTCCCCTCTTTTGATAGAAGGATCTCGCTATGTAAGGTCGGAATGCGGTCCTAAGAGGTCGAGAAGGCAGAACCTCGGAGGGGGACCCATTCTTGCGGTGGGTTCGGGAATCTGAGGACATGTGGACAGGTGGCTAAGATTCAAGGTATCGCCTCAGTCGAGGCTAATACAAGAGGGAAAGGACAGTTGGTATCTGAGCTCGAGCCAAGAGTAATAAATAGCGCATTAATTATGAAGGACGTTTGACAAGATCTGTATTAATTAAGGAGCGCCTTTACTTCCTTGGACTGGGAGGTAAAGTGCCGCGTTCCATCCATCAACGTTCTATATGTTTGGAGAAGAGACCCTCAAACTCTTGGGTAAAGTTAGGTTCATTCAAAAGACTAAGAGACATTGACCGAGGAAATAAGTATTATAAATAGGAACATTAATCCGCCTTTAAGGCAGATAACCACAGCATTTAATAACTTCATATAGCCGAGCTTGAGTCCTTCGGATACTGAGATCGATCTTCCCTTTCTTAATCTTCGACTCAAAGAATCACTTGTATTGCTTGGATCTCCACTTAGATACTGATTTTTGTTTTCTTGACTTACGTGGAACGATCTCTCATCCCCATTAAGAACGTAGGCACTAACTTCAAAGATACTCAAATAAAAAGGTTAAGTGCTCGAGTTTTGATGGAGGCATAATATATATTATTAGATGCTTTGCTTGAACATTTTGCTAAAAAATTTCTGAGATCTTGTGATATGGTTAACAATACTATGCAATTTGATCAAGGTTATTTGACAAATAAGTTTTGACAGATGTCAAAGTTGAGTGTTCAAGCTTCTTTTCTCTTCAGTGATTTCTTGCATGCTGTGAATTTTTTTTTATTTTCGTGTACAATACTAAACTTTCTTTTTCATCTACTTATTTGCGATGTTACTCCAATCTTTTCAATTACTGAGTTAGAAAGTATGGACACATGTCCAACGACTAATTTATACAGTAATTTATAAATAATTTTTTCAGTTTTATTTAAATAAAAATCTATTTTATAAATATTATTTTAAGGACATAAAATTTAATTCTAACCTTTGCTTGTTATTTATTCATTAGGTAAATAATTTAAATAGAATACTTGCCTACTCCCTACTTACTGATTGCTTATATCAAAGGCACACAAATTTTTAAATTACAAAATTTAAGAGTAAGTATCGTTCATAATTTAATTGTCACATATAATCATAGTTGTGAGAATTGATTGCATAGATATTTAAAAAGTAGCATATCCAAACAAAAATCACATAAATTTATATGCCTTTCTATGCTTCTAAAAATTAAAAATAAAAACAACTAAGAGATGAACTTAGTATCTCATTGCAAATTACATGTATGATTCAAGGGTACACATTCAAAATGGTGGTTGTCAGAGTGAGTGTATGCCCGTGGGGCACGTGCTCCTCTGGTTTGGGCCGCTTACTATAATATATATATTAAATTTATATATTTTTATATGTATATATGAAAAAAATTCATATAATGCTCCTTTTACCTAAAATTTTTATTTTCTAAAATTATCTCTTAAATTTTGTATTTTTTTCTCTTTTTTACTCTTTAAATTTGTTTAATTTCCTTTAAAAAAGTCAAATTTACCTTTTTGAATCAAACTCTCATTTTTCTTTCCTTTCAAAATTCTTTCATTTTCTTTTCTTTTTAAATTTTTTTAAAAAATTCTCTTCCATATCTTTGTATTTTGTTTTGGTTAGTTGAATGAAAAGTTAAGTACGGATTACTCCAATAAATAGAGTTCAACAATGACTATTATCAGCTTTTAAAAATAACAAAATCTCTTTTTTTAAAACTTATTTAATCATTAATTTATGGGTAAAGTGCACTAAACCCCCCTGTACTTTCTTCTCTTTCTCAAAAAACCCCCCCTAAACTTTAAGGAATACATTTAACCCCCTAAACTATCCTATTGCAAAAACAGGTTAACGTGAGTAATGGCACGTGACCCATGTGTCTTAGAAAAAATACAAAATACCTCATATACCCTTATAACCGTTGAAGTCCATTATATTCACCGTTATATATATACATTCCTTATATATTCATTCGACGCAGGAAAGAGGCTGAAAATCATAAAAATAGAGGATTTTGGGAAGCAATTTCATAAACCCATTTTCTTATCATTGATAATTGGAGTGTTGGTGTGTAAATCTGGGAATGAGGTAGCTATTTATGCTATTGAGTGAAAGATACAGAACTTTTTAACTTGGATATAGCCATCAGGAAGTGAAGTTTTGATCAGATCCAATAATACAATAATACGGGTCGATTCAAAACCGGATCTCTAAAAACCAATTTTTGTAAACCAACGATGGGATAGCTTCACATCCGTAGCCAAACACCGTTCTTCGGTCTGCAAAACCAGGTTTGAACCAGAACTAGATCTCTGCAAACCTGGTTTTATTAAACCAAGGTTCGGATAGCTCCACATCCGTAGCCAAACACTGCTCTTCTTCTTCACTGTCAACGCCGGCGAGGACCACAATTTGCGGCCGACAAAAAAAAAAAAAACAAGGATCCGAGGTCCAGAATGGAGAATCGAGACCACCACAAGTTAATTAACAGCCAAGGGACGACGGTGAAGCCTCTGCAAATCTCTCAGCTACAGCAAAGAACCACACTCAGTTTCAAATGAAGCCACCGATAACAAAATCAGTCACAACGGCGACTACACACGACAGCCACCGGCGTCAGCAAAAGGAGAGGTCGTCGATGGGCTACACAGCACAGTCTATCCCTGCACACTGGTTCGTGACGAAGGCACAGTGATGACAACAACTCCTCGCCGACAGTCCAGAAATGGTCGTCGATCAAGAAAAACGTCCACAACACAATTTCAACCGCAAGCCGAGTTCGTCGACGCACGGTGATCTCTTCACGAACTAGTACACACTCTAGCACCACGGTAGCAAAGTCAATGGCCGGATCTCTTCACGACCTAGTACACACCCAACAAACAGGGTTGAGAGAGAGAAATTGGAAGCAAGAGGAAAGAAAAATTACTGGAATTTTCAGACTGAGAGTCAACAGCGTGTACCATAAGAGACTTGTTTGCCATATTGTTAAGCACTAGTTTGGGACTTTCTCGAGAGAAGGACACGTTTGGCGCCGATTAGATACAATCGATGTTATTGATAAGGTTCGGTGGGTACGTGTTGCTTCTTTATTAGTTCTAGAAATTACAATGCCACATCATCATCTGTTAAACAAAAAATCACTAAGACGATGTCGTTCCATTAAGGGCTAAAAGGTAACTTCAATTTTCTGTCAGTGACTGCTCCACGGCTGGTTCACGAGTGCAACAAATTGATAATTTAGGGAAATTTTACTTATTTTAAAGGAATTTCTTGCAATAGGGTCATACTTCAGGGGAATTTAGTGTATTTTACCCTTAATTCATTAGTTGCATAGCCGGTATAAAAAAATAAGGAATATTTTAAGAATTTTTAAGAAAATTTATAATATTTTAACAAAGAAAAGTAAAAATGGAAAATGTATGATGACTGTATGAGTTTTAAGTAACTTTCCTGTTACCTTAGAATATGTGCATTAAGAGAAGGCGAACTTATATAGAACGCCTCACGAGATTTGTTATTCGCCTTTACTTATTTTTTTTTTTTTAGTAAAAAGAAAAAGAATAGTAGTTGACTATTTTAATTATTTATGGTTCGTGTCCATTTTATACTTTTATGATATTAATATAGCGTGTATGATCTTTCATTATTTGTTTACCTCTCTTATACATTAAAAATGGTGTGAATTTGTGCCTTTTAGCCATTGACCTCTATTAACCGGTACCGGAATTAGAAAAGGACTAAAATAGCCCTCTATTTATGATTTTTAAAAAATGTCTCTTCGTAGATCCTCATGTAAAGAAAACTTATCCTCTTTCTAAATTCCCTTGCACAAGTCTCTATAGGCAAGAGGCAATGGTGAAACCCCTTATCTAGGGAGAAAAAATAGAAGACAAGGGGTCAATCGTGTATCCACAGGTGCAAGATCCAATAGCGAAAGTGGAAGAAAAGCGACCTAGGAAGCTTGAGCCAATGTGAATCGATTCTTCCGAGAGTCTGGCGCTCTCAACACAACAGTCAGGCGGCAGGCAAAGACTTGATTGATCTATGAGAGCAATGGTGGAAATCAAAGAATGAGATGAGGGAGAGGGTCCAAATAAATATACAAATATATATATAATAGGGTGCGGGATAGTTTAGAAATATAAGAGAGGCAATTTTGGATTTATGGTTTTAAAATGGTCATGTGCCATGCACATTACCAACTTACAGCCATTTTCTATCGAAATTTCAATCGGAGGGGATTAGTTGCAATATTTTCATATCACGTATGAATTTATATAAGCAAAGTAAATGATACGGGTACAAATTTAAAACTGTAACAGTGTTTTTCAGACTTTACCTTTTATTTATTTATATTTTATTTTTAGATGAATTAGAATAAGTAGTGTGGTAGTTGATTACTCGTATTTGCAAGTGTAAAGGCATAATTATAAACAATTAAGCCTCAAACGTTTTACATACTACGAGTAATTTGTATATAAAATGAGGTGGATCAGACGCAGTCAAATCAGCAGTTGAATTGAGAAGTCAAATCAACGTGCCTTGCCGAGCCAACGAGGATGACCCATAATTGTTGAGCTGTAACGAGTTGACCCAGATTAATTATTTATTCCATTTTTTTTTTTGTCACCAACTTCAAAAATCAATCTGAATACACAGGACGCGACTGTTGGCACAGGAGAGAATCCAAGTGACCCATAAGATGGTATAGAGGTGATTTTGTAATAAGCTCCAATGTTTTGGCTATATATAAACACACATGCACTATCCCCATCCCTCTCATCCCCAACTGTCTCCTTAAACACCATTCTCTCTCGTCATTATGGACACAAAGAAGGTTTTCTTCTCCTCCCTCTGTTTCTTCCTCTTCTCCATCCTCACAGGTACCAATAGCTAGCTATGTTTCTTTTCTTTTTTCACAGTTGTCTTTAATTCTAAAATCAATTGTTTTCCTGCTAACACCTCTCTCTCTCTCTATATATATATATTAACATAGGTTATCAAGGGGTGTATGGTTCATCTCACCACCACCACCACCACCACCACCGCCATCATAATCTTTACGGTTTTCGTCCGGCGAAGCTTTTTGTATTCGGGGACTCGTATGCTGACACTGGGAACAACAAGAAATCTGACGGCAACTCTTGGAAGGTTCCTTATGGTATTACCTTTCCCGGCAAACCTGCCGGCCGTTTCTCCGACGGCCGTGTCCTCACCGATTTCATTGGTATAGTACCCCAGTACTCTTCTCGTTCTCTTTCTATATCATCATCAACACACACACACATAGATATATACACATAGTTGGCACTTCAATCATCTTTAATTTGTTTTCTTTTCTGGATTACACTATAGTGGTAAGTGGGTGCTGGTTGGTAGTGGGTCTCTGTCTTGCTGATAACTCTAGTTGTTCTCTTTCGCGCTTCTTTCCTTATGTCAGATCAATATCACATCTTTTTCTTCCATAATAACTTTCTCACTTGAAGTTGTACTTAATATTGTGTGTATCCATATATATATATATATGTGTGTGTACATAAATATCTGTGTATATATATATACTTGTGCGTGCTTTTCTTAGATTCTCTTACATGTCTGTTCATTAGTGGGAGTACCACGTATACAATACCCGTGTACTGTAGACTTTCCCAGCTTTAATCATTTAGATAGCCTGTCCACCACCCATGCTTCTGCTGGGCTCCTTTTATTGTCATTCAGCTTTAATCATTTACTTTGTTTTGCACTTTATGTATTTATTCGTATTTTAGCTTTATAATAACAACCCACGTAGAAGATGTGTTATTATCAATGTTCGACAGATTAGCACTTTATCCTCCATTTTCATCATACTATCCATCTCTAGTTAATTAATTAAAACTTATCTTTATAAACAAAATATAATTTTATATAAAACTTCACCACATGTCCACTGTTTTTAATGTGGCTATATATATCTCTGACTTCTATCTACTGTATATATACATGCAGCGAAGTTTTTTGGATTCAAGTCTCCGATAGCGTATAGATGGAGAAATATGGGAGGAAAACGTCTACGTAATGGGATGAATTTTGCTTATGGAGGGACAGGAGTGTTTGATACGTTGGTTTCGTATCCAAACATGACCACCCAGATCGGTTTTCTCCAGAAGCTGGTCAACGACTCCGTCTATACCAAAGAGGACTTGCAATCTTCGCTCACTCATGTCTCTGTCGCCGGCAACGATTACAGTGCTTACTTAGCCAAAGGTGGCAACACTGGTCAGGTAATCCATTTTCTATATGTATATATCTACGTTTTTATAAATCTAAATAAGCTATGTTTGCAGTATACACAATTCGTGTCTTGAAAATTGAAACTGAAAAAATTAGTTCAGACTTCGTGCAATTTTTTTTATTTTTTATTTTCAAAAACCTCCCCCTTTTTAAATTAAATGACATAAATATCCCGTATATTTAAATTATCATGAAATTAAATAATGTCATGTCACCTTCAACCTGTCATCATTGCCATTTCACACTAGAATGTAGGACAGTGCTATATATATATATATTTAATAGGGAGTAGGCTGTATATATATTAGCACCACAAGGATAAAAACTAAGGGACAGGACAACAGTAATGTCCTTCCTTCCTTCTAGCTTCTTGTGTTTTAATTGCTCTGTAGGGTAGGACAGTAACACGACTTATTTGTAATTTAGCTTGAATGATATATTCACGCCATGTGAAAAGTGTAGTACAATAGTTAGGTTGTGGTTGTAATTGAATGGAGTGTGCTGGAAGGATTAAGGGATTAACAAACCTTCAATCCTAGCTTAATCAACCCCGGCCCTTTTCAATCCAAATTCTTCAACTTCAACTTACATTTTACACATTTTGGAGTGAGTTTTAAAATATGTCCTCACGTTATAAGTTCGTCTTTAGTATCCAATATGTATGGAAAATAAAAATAAAAAATAAAAAATAAAAAGATTAAAAAATTCCAAATAAAAGTAATATGAAAAAACTAAACAATTAATTTTCACTTGGTAAATAAGGCAAAGCATGTTTGACACTGTTATTGTTAAGTGGAATGGCAATATGCGGAACACAAAGTTGTACTTGTACCCCTAGGATGATCACGTGTGCAGTCTTGTAAAATTATTTTCCATGCCCTACTTCGGTTCTATGTGTACCTCTAAGTGCACGTTAATACTTTTGCATACTTAGATGCTAACATGCGTCATGTCACTTGTCTTATGTGAACACGCCCGTTGGAAAACCCGAGCAATTAATGCATCATTACAAATTTTTCTTTTTTGTCCGATTAAGAAACGGTAATATTTCCATTCCTTTTGCTCACGACCCACACGTTTGTGTTGTTTGGCAGTTCTGGAAATGGAATCCCACACACGGTTTAGGTAGATTCTGGAAAATCCACGAAACTAATATAGATTACTAAATTTGAAGAGGCCGTTTCAAGACCATTATATATATATATATATATATAATTCTTTATTTATAATTATTAGTACGTAAATAAGTCAATAAATGTCATTATTATACTAAATTAATATGATATAATATATACTGGATTTGAAGAGGCCCTTCCTAATCTAAACATGTTTATCATTACAAAATTAAGAGAAATTGGCCTTTGATTTGCCTCTCTAATAAAGAAAAAGATTATCACAAGGGACTTTGTGAGCGCGGACTGACAGAGGTTCTTTGTATTAATAATATTAATTCCATAGACAACTCCAGTGTCTTTCAAATAATATTGTGTAGTAAATAATTTTATTTTATTTTATTTATTATTATAAAAAATCTAATAATATAATTTTACATACTGTGTGACTCAAACTCCTTCCATTTATTTTAAATATGAAGAAATTATATTACTGGATTCATTGGGCTAAATGCTCTTTAGTAGAGTATTTGGACTTTTGTGCAGGGTTGGGCTTGTATGAGTTTTACATTAACTATAAAAAGTTTTGAGATTTTTTATTATTATTTTATTTGACAACAACTTTGAGAAATGATAAATGCACTAATCCATTTGCACTTGTTTTTTGTTTTGTTTTTTTAAAATTAAATTCCTCATTTCAAACATGAAAAATGTAGGACACTAATATGACCTCTTTGTAATTTAGTTGGAATGATATATTCACTCCATAGGAAAGTGTAGGACAACAGTTAGCTTGTGGTTGAGATTGAATGAGAGATACGCTTTGCTTATGTTGCCTTTAGCTTCCAATTAATATGTTAATTAAAATAAAATAAAAAATTTCACAATAACATTAATATGAAAATAGAGAAACAGTTAGGTTTCACTTGATTAGTAAGAAAAAACATGTTTGACACTGTTATTATTAAATCTCTGTAAAAATAATTTATTATGTGATTTGGGGTTATGTTTGGTCTCTATCAATCAAAAATTAAGACCACGTGATTCCAAACTGAATCTCTTAATTAGAAACGTGTATCATGATATTAAATTCAAAATATATGTATGATTTCTGTTCACTAGAAATCATCTAGCATAGTTCCATGATCATATGACCATGTGGTCCCGGATTGAATCTCCTAATTAAAAATGTGTATTACGATGTTAAATTCAAAATTCAAAATATATGTGTGGTTTCTATCAATCAGAAATTATGTAACACTGTCCTATGATTATATGAGCTGTGGTCCCGGACTGAATCTCTTAATCAGAAATGTGTATGAAGATATTAAATTCAAAATATTTCATTATATATATATGATAATAGTAGTACTACTACCATATAGTTTTTATTTTTATTTTTTATAATGCTTTAATTTTTTACTTTGTTACTTAAATCTTGTCTGCTCTCCACTGCAATGTAATATTATTAATATATTATCAGGTCTATATGTTAAAAACTATGGCTCTTGGCATTTTTATGTGTATCATAAAAACTGAAAACTCTGTTTGTCTTGTAGGGTTTGCAAACCTTCATTATGCAAGTCGTTAGTCAAATTGTCATTGACCTAAAGCGCATCCACAGCATGGGAGTGAGAAAAATAACTGTGACAGCTCTACAGCCCCTTGGATGCCTCCCTCGTAACACCGTCACGACTTCGTTTCAGCAATGCAATGCAACTCTGAACACAGCAGTGAGCTTCCACAACCTCCTGCTGCAGCAAGCTGTGGCTAAGTTGAACAACGAGACCAAGGATTCTTCTTTTATTATTCTCGATCTTTATACTTCTTTCACTTCGGCAATCAAGAACCAGACTGTCTATCCAGGTGATTAATTAACTTTTATTAATTTTGCAGTGTCAATCGATCCTTTTCTTTAATGTATAGATTAATGGATTAGTCCGTTTAATATATAGTACTGATTTGGCTCCTTAAATTTGAATTATCAATTGCTAATAAAGATAGAACTTTGTTTTTTCCCAGAAAGTTTGAAGTTTGAGACTCCAATATTAAAGCCATGTTGTATGGGTATGAGCAATGAATATTCATGTGGGAGTGTAGATGATAAAGGAGTGAAGATGTATGCAGTATGTGACAACCCTGATTCTGCATTCTTCTGGGACACAGTGCACCCCACACAAGCAGGATGGCGTGCAGTGTTTCCGTCTTTGAAAGCTACTCTTCAACAAATTTAATTACTAGCTAGCCTCCATCTGTTAATTGCCAAAATGTGGTGTTATCTTCTTTAATTTGTATCCAATTTTTTTTTTTTTTTTTTTTTTTTTTTTTTTTTTTTTTTTTATTCTGTTCAAGTTTGTGTGGAAGCGTTGGTTCTGTCAAATTTATGGTTCACTGGATTAGATCAAGTAGCGTAACTTTTTTGTTATCTCCAAGTTGAAGGATACTTACTGGATTAATCGTTTGGATTGTTGAGATAAATAATTTAAAGTTGATCCTATAAAACAGACATTAATTACCATGCAATTTGATCAACATTATTTCATAGTTAACAATCTAATGCCATGCAAACTCGCTTTGCGTTCAGAATTTTACCTCTCCCTCTCTTCAACTTCATAAAAAGAATTTAAGCTTTGGTTTTGAAATGGCAGAGATAAGCGTTGTATATATCAAAAGATTTCCAAAAAATATCAAAAACAGTTTACCTTAATAAAAAAGAAGAAAGTTGATCAATTGAGGATAAAATAGAGGGAGTAGATGTCGATAGTCTGGGTTAGTGTCTCCCGTGAATTTTGAAGTGTTAGGCGCTCAATAAAACATCAACAAGTTTTAGAATAAAAAAAATAATGACTACAAGCGGTAAAAATTTCAAGAAATATCCATAAACCATTCAATCGGGTCTTCCTAAGATGAGAAAGCCATCGATGTATGAGCTCTATAGAATTGTTCTAAATTCTAACTCGGCGTCATGGATCTGGAGTTGAACACATTGCCGGGGCCATAAAACAACATCACCAAAGATGAACACTAGTGATACATTAGCCCACCACCACCACTGTCTATAAAGAACGACGTCGATATGGAGAAGTATGGGTTCGAAGTCTATCAACGATAGAATGATTAACTATTTATCCTCAAATGAAGGCGTTGCTATTGATCAATTCAACTCACAATTCACATGGTTTGATTCACTAAAATAAAAAATTTTGTTTGATTTTAAATTTAGAACAGAAAAAGTAATATATATGGCTGCTATATATGGCTGCTTGACAGAGAAAGAGAAAATGATGAGTTTCTATTACCTGAATCATATATATATATATTTAAAACTTAATATTGATGTTTTATTGGGTTACCTCGTACTCATCGTAATGAACCGATTCCTTCTTACGTGCCCAAGGCATATATTACACTATTTTGTAGAATAATTTTCATCAGAACCTGAAAACCGACTTTCGATCATTTAAAATCTTTTCTTGGGTCGACGATTCTCGACCTAACTCACCATCAGAGAGTGAGTGAGCCCGCTCGGCGTTTCAACTCTTTTTATTTATACGCTCGTGTCGGCGACGTTTTCCTCTACTCCGACGACGTTTTCTAAACAACGGTGATATTTTCCTTCTTTTCAATTCTGGAAGATTTTCTTGGAGTTCTTTGGCTCAGTTAAATTGATTCAGGTGAGAAATTTCAGTTTGAAATGTGATTTTAGGGCCTGTTTCTTTTGGTTAGTTTTGATTCTGGAAGTTTCGTTGAGGAATGTCAACTGGAGTTTTGGGTTATTTTAATGATCTTTGCCATTGTTTCAAGACTTCCTGTCCATTCTGTTTATGACTGTAAGCATTCACTGTTCTTTTATAATCTACCAACTGTTTGATTAAATGTCGCATTGGAAAATCTCAATATAGAAGTTTTGTCACATTATTTTTAATAGTCATATTACTGGACCTTTTTATATAAAATAGGTTTCCTTGACAAACACTTAATTTTTTATTTTTTTTTAGTAAAGGGTTTTTAGGATTTAAGACAGACACCGAAAAAGTTTTTAGAAAAATATTTTACAGAGAGAAAATTTTTACGAAAAAATATATTTTACATCAAAACTGTGTTTTCAGGAAAAAGACATTTGGGAAGGTTGTTTAGTTCACTGTTGAGTGGACAGTGGGAAAAACCCTTGGTCTAAGTGTGTCTGTGGCCATTCAATTTTGCTGATGCTCTCTGTATTGATAAATATTAGTTTTCCAGGATCATTCTCTGTTGGAACTAGATTTTCGGAATGTTTAAACAAGGGAATTTCGGAAATTTGAAATAGCAACTAGTTTCCTTCTTGGTTTCTTCTTCTTTGCTTGATATATATTATGTATGCATACATTTTGCTTTGCTACTATAGTGTTCCATTATGAAAGGCAAGAATAATTTGCAAGAATGAGAGGATTAACGTAATGAGATTTGGCAGGGAAATGGAAGAAGCAATTGAGGTGGATGTGGAAACTACAATTGCTGCAGAATCGTGCCGTGAAAAGGGGAACAAAAAAACAATGCGAGGGCGACAGAAGAAAGCACATGCAGTTTCAGTGGATGGAGAGAATTTGCCAGGTTCTGAAGAGGATTTGAACAATGGTCCTCCCAGGATTACAGTTTTGGAGTTTGATTATTCAGTTGAAAGTCACTTCAGAGCAGTGGATACAATTTGTAAGCTCTGTGGAGATGCTGAATGCAATGATTTTTACAAATATGAGATTGAGCGATTGTCCTCCTCAGTCACTTTCGTAAGGTGAATCATATGTGGAACTGTTGAAATGATATTGTTGTCATCTTGTTATTGGGATTATGTGATGTTATGCTATGTTGGTTTGTTTTTGTTATTACCATTGCTGTTGTTGCTAGAAATTTTGGCTTTAAGTGAATATAAATTGGATATCAGTAATGTATCCGCTGAGTATTAGCTTGTTCAAACTAGCTTTCTTGAGCTTAGGTTGCAATTGAGCTCTGATCGAATTTTATCTGAGCTTAGTTGATCTGTTCAAGCTTTAAATTACTGTACATATTGAGTTTCTTAATAATCAAGCTTAGCTAATGCTCTTTACGTTGTAAGTTTTTGTAGTCGGCTTGGTTCATATTGAGTTTCTGAATAAGTTTGACTAATTTTGTTTGACAAGCTAATCCTATATCAGTTTCTTGTCAGGACCGAATTCCTGATGTTAGCAATGGAAATTGATGATTCTAACATGATGCACAAACTTATTTAATACTTCATCATATTCATATGTATATATCAAATGTGCACAAAGTATTTTGCTTGGTGGATTTTCATATATTTGCTGAAACAGCTACTAACAGGTTCAATAGCCCAAATGCATGCGCAAGCTTGGCATGTTCAAGCAATTGAGCTTGACACAGGCAACAACTTCTTTTGTTTTATCGAACTATTAAGAAGAATTTATTGTTCAATGCTTTATGCTTGTGGTAATGTAGAAGCAGCTTCTGTGCTTATGCTCGTCAGAAGTACAGCTTATAGCTACAAGTGAAAATTGGTTTAATAGGTAATTTTTATATACAAGGCATTTGTATTTGAAAAAATGTGAAGAACTGTTTTTGGTTAAATTCTTTTAATGTCTTTGGCATAATTGATTTTTCTCACCAATAAAAAATTGCTTACTGTTGACCTTCTCAAGTGGCTCCATTTGTTTAGTGGACTTTATGAGAAGAGTTTATAGTTCATTGTTTTATGCTTATATATAGAACCAGCTTCTGTGCTTATGCTTGTGGGAAGCATCTTGCCGCTTATAGCTTTTGGATAAGTGGACAACGTTCTAACAAATGTGTGAAAATTTGTTTACTGCACACCTTCTACTCATTCCCATGGCATAAAGTGCTCTTCATGCTTTTCTTTAAAGTTACAGCTTTGTTTAGTCCTGTTATATCCAGATATAAACATGATTAATGCACATGTTTGCAGAGAATGGAGTTTTTTTAATTACCAACCAAGAATAGTCAGGGTTGCTTGCCAAAGTGACAGTCCTCTTGGAAAAGATGTGATTGGTGAGATGCATTTACCTCAGTTTTCAGCTGCAGCCGTTCCTAAGGTTCATGACAAGAGATAATTTGTTGAAGTTGAAAATATTTGTTGCACTTTTACCCTTTCTTGTCTTGGTTTCTATCATACCATTTTGATAATTTGGATTACAAAACTGATACAGGAGAGACAAACTGGGAATGCTACACCTCCAGAGCTTAGGTATGTGGGTTGGGTTTTGATCAAGTGGTCTTCATCTCTGGGCTTCATTGCCTTTTCTCTGTGTCGATGTCCAATTTTTTGGTTGAATATATTGTGGTGTTGTATGTATTATTTAAAAAGGTGAATTACTCTAACCTCCCTAAGGCTGATGTTTCTGATAAATTGTAGTTACCTCCCTTGTACGGAGATCTAGTCAAACAGATTCCTTCTCCTTGATGTGCTGTTAAGGCCTCAATGGTTTTGAGTGAAGTCATGTCTTAAAGTTCTTAAATACCAATTATACCCATATGGGAACACACTCTGATATAATTCAAGGTCAATTATGCTCTTAAGTATGCACGGAAATTCTCAATATAACCTTAAATCGCGGGGATGTAATTAAATGAATTGTGTTAATTTGGTGGTGCGATCCATTTTTAACTCAAATCATTTATTCAGATTCATCATTAGTTTCTTACTATGATATGATTGGTATATAATTTCCACATCCATCCCCGTCATCCACTACCACCACCTTTGTGTGCCACTAGCCACTGTAGTTGATAAAGACTCTTCTTGGTGTCAAGAATTGCCGATTGTTAAATGATAGAATTGGTTAGTTATGGTATCAGGTATTGTTATTGGTTTGGAAATCAGAGAATCATCTTGGTATCAGGTGAATCACTAAACCTTATATTCTATTGTTCATAGCATGACACATAACTGAAGTACATTGATGGTTTTTTTTGCATCTCTTTTGTCTTGCTGATATTCCACTTGCTTTTTTTAAAGTCTGGCTAGTCTGCTTGTGACTTCTTGTATAACTAAATCCAATTACAAGTTTCGCTATACTTTTTCTGCCTATATTATGCTTCTACATATATTTCTTAGACCGTCTCTCATTAGATCTTTTTGCAGCAAAGACTTTGTTATGCATGTTGGAGGTCCTGTTTGGGCATTGGATTGGCGCCCAAGAGTCCATGAAAGGTCTGATTCTAATATTAAATGCGAGGTAGTTATCTTTTACTTTATCATTATTTTTATTTTATATTGGTTTATTCTGAATTATTTTTATTTTATGTTTGCAAGTAATGTTATGATTGCACCCGCCCTTGGCCTAGGTGGTAGGTGGTACGACAACCACCTTCCTAAAGGGGAGGTTCAGGGTTCAAGCTCCAAGTGGGGCAAAATGTGTGTCTTTTTTACTTACTTACAGGACAGAATGTTGTGATCGCAACATAGTTTGTGTTTTGCCATTTTATGAAAAAACATGGAACGGATTCCTGACTGTACCCTCTGTTTGATTTCTTTCTCATATGGTGATATTACTTGGTTTGTTAATTAAAATAGTAAATCAACTGCCCCGCCAGAAAAGAAAAAGAAGACCAAATGTGTAGAAAATTTCTTAAATACAACCAAAGCCATGAATTGAAAAAACCTTTTTAAAATGTTCATGCTCTCTCCAATGGTATTTTATGTAATTTCAGAGGGTTGAGTATATCAAATTTGTAATCCTTATAAGATAATTTTCTAATCTTTCTGGAAGGAAGAAGAAAGAGTGATAAATAGAGGGTGGGAGTGAGGAAGGTAATGGGGCAGCAAGGTGGAGAAAAAAAATCAATATAACAACTCCTTATTCTTAATTGTGTGCAAAAGAAAATGGCTCATACACTGCAAAAAAAAAATCTTCTTTTCAAATTCTATAGCTTTTGATTGAAAATTAAGGCATGTTCTTCACTTTTTGATATAGAAGCTTGCTAGTGTAGCTTAGAAATGTGTTCTATGAGAGGCTTAGGAGTGAACCACAATTAACATGAAAATTGGTCTCCAGAATTTCTTTTCAAATTTGAAATTAAAATTCATTGAGTGAATTCGCCATTATGGCTGATAAGCACCGCAGCTGTTTGATTCTTTGTATATTTTACAAGAACCGGTAAATAGGCTAGTTTCAGTGTTGGAACGGGCTGACATGCTTTTGTATTTGGCTATTTGCTAACTCACACGCAGATGATTATTTAATACAATGTTGTCACTTGTTACATGACGCCCGGTATCATTGGCTTGTAGTGTTTGCTTCTAGGTTTCTAATGCACACACAGATGATTATTTAATACGATGTTGTCACTTGTAACATGACGACCAATGTTATTCGCTTGTAATGTTTGCTTCTAGGTTACTTCCTGGACTAATAACCTCACTATATTTGCTGACACTTTGGTTTATGCAAATACACATATACATATGTGTTACCTTTCCTTCAGTCCTTTTAAAGTTCTTCAGAAATTAAGACATCAAAAAAGATACAATCTATAGAAATTAAAGTTTTATATGATATTGTCATTTTGATTCTAGACCTTGAAAAAAAATATTAAATCAAATATTAAAAGCAAAGTTTTTATTCTTTTATATCATTTGTTGGTTAGAAAACGATTATGGTTTTATTTACTTGGCTACATGTTTTTTTTTTCCCCATATACTAAAGTTTCCTAGTATTCATTCTTAACTTAAGATGAAAACATCATCTCAATTTAAACCTCTACCTATAAAGTATCAGCTGAAGTTATGCTTCAGCGAAGTAATTTTATTGATATTGTGCAGTATTAAGGTTTTTAAAAAGCCTTTTTTTTTTCCCTGTCAATTTAGAAAGTCAACCAAAATCCAAAGAATTGCCAAGTTTCTTACTTTATTGCCGAATTTGAAAATTTGAAAATTTGCAAATTTTAAATATTTGGTTGAATTTAGAAATTTTTGGTGAATTTCCAGTTGAGTTAGTAAAAGTATTTGAAACGTTTTTGTCCCGCATTTTTCCTTATGTGGCCTAATATTATGATTTTATGGCTGAATTTCAGTCTATTTGTATTCAAACACACCATCTGTATTCGAATTTCACTAACGTGCCCATAAATTTGGTGAATTTTAAATCCTTGTGCAGCATACATTTAGTTCTATTTGAAAGTAGTGATTTTATGCTGAGATGCCTTTTATTTTCCTCCTGGTTATTGTGTAAGTGACAATCTGTTTTCTGTGATTGACCTTTCAGTATATCGCCATCGCCACTCATCCTCCTGAATCTTGTTATCACAAGATTGGCGCCCCACTTACTGGAATAGGTGTTATTCAGGTATGGTGTCTTTTAAATGTCTTGAAAGCAGAAGAGGTGCCTCCTCAGGTGAATGAAAGGCCAAAACAGTCAAACCAACCAAAGAAGCCAAGAGGGAGACCTAGAAAAAAGCCAATAAATGAACCGGTAGATAATTTGGATTGCAACAATCAATATTTGCAAGCTACTGCTCTTCAATTCCCCGAAGAGATGCCTACTCAAGTGATGATAAAGCCAAAACAGAATCCTAGCAATAGCGAGACGGTAAAGGTCAAACCAATTCAACCAAAGAAGCCAAGAGGGAGGCCTAGAAAAAAGCCAATAAATGAATCTGTAGATAATTTAGATTGCAATAATCAATACGTGCAAGCTCTTGCTATTCAGTTCCCCAAGGATTCATCCGAATTGCCTCCAGGAGATGAGGATCCCATGGATACCCGTGAACATGTTGCTAAAAAGGATACTGGTAGAAAACGAAAGGGTGCTGGGGGAAGAGTGTCTGCAGATGATTCAGCATTGACAATTTCAGTGGATAGGACGAGATCGAAAGCTAAGGCAAGGAAAGGGAGTCATGATCAGGGTAATGATTTGCCTTCTTTGGTACAAAATGAGAACAATGAATCTTCCCTCATGGAAACTACTCCCTCACGGGAGGGAGTTAGATTGAAAGAGAAGGCAAGGAAAGGGAGTGATGTTCATGGTAATGGCTTGACTTCAGTAACTCAATACGAGAACAATGAATCTTCCCTTGCGTATCCCCAAACAAGCTCAAGCTGCGGACAGGATCCTGTTGGGTCAAGTGATAATGCTGCAAAATGTTGTTCCTTTGAAACTTCTCTAGTTAGTGGTCCTGTTTTGAAGGATGTTGCTTTGCCTAGAATGGTGTTATGTCTGTATCACAATGGAAAAGTTGCATGGGATGTAAAATGGAGGCCTTCTAATGTTTATGATGCTGAATCTAAACATAGAATGGGTTATCTTGCTGTCTTGCTTGGTAATGGAGCTCTGGAAGTGTAAGATCCTTTTCAGTTTTTTCTAGATTTAACGTTACTTTGTTTCAATATGTTTTTCTAATCATTTTTACTTATTTGCAGACCTCGACCATCTTATTTTCTAGTTGTTTCGTGATCTAGTCTTCAATAATTGCTTATGAGCATAAAAGGAAATGGAAGGAGAGAATCCACTTGCTATATGCATTTAGATGATTTCATTAAAGAAATGGCCTAAAATCATTTAGAATGGCTGAAAAATGGGTTATCAAGTTGCTAAGACTCATTTATTTCCTTCACATTATATCATTCATCCTGTTAACATGCCTTTCCATGTCATTCTTGCCCAATAACCAAGCAACAGAAACATCATGTCATTCTTGAAGGACTTTCAGGCTGAGCCAGGGGGCCTTCTTTCTGATGAGGAATTTGGGACTCCGATGGATGGTTGCGCTCCTTCCACCTCTGTTCCTGAGGATTGGGAGGGAGTTTTGTGTTCTTCTCTTGATGGAGAGCGGAGGTTGATTCAGTGGGAAGGAGCTGAGCAGGCTGTGGAGACGTGTGTTCCTTTGGCTGTCATTCGACCGGAAGAGGAGTGTTCGGAAGGTGTTGCTGTTGTTATTGGAAGGGGGGATTTGGAGGAGGAGTGGTTTAGAGAAAAAGGGGGGGAGGTGGTCTCTCTGTTGGGAGTGTCTTTTGAAGGGAGAATGGAGGAGGCGTTGAGTATGTTCCATGGTATCCTAAATTCACAGCTTTTGGAAAGAATGGGAGGTATGGGTGGTGTTCAGGAAGGGGCAGCTGAGAGGGAAGTGCGGAGATCCGCGGATCTTGTTACTTATGAAAGGCGGAATAGGAGGTCCAGGGATAGGGACAATGGGAGGAGGAGAGGGACGGATTTTGCTACTGTTTCCCTATGAAGCTGCAAATTTTGTCACGGAATGTGCGGGGTCTAAATGACCCGGTGAGGAGGAAAGTGGTGAAGTCGGTTATTCGTAAAGGGGGAGGTCATGTGGTGTGTTTGCAAGAAACCAAGATTGCTTCGATGACAGATTTGATTGTGCGAAACATTTGGGGTGGGAGATTTGTGAAGTGGTGTGCCTTGGATGCCAATGGCTCTGCGGGTGGTGTTCTTGTTTTGTGGGATAACAGATGGGTGTCTTTGGTGGATTCTCGGATTGGGAATTTCTTTGTTTCATGTGTGTTCTCTATGGTGGAGGATGGTTTCCATTGGGTCTTTTCGGGTGTGTATGGGCCTACGGATGATTTGATAAGGCCGATGTTATAGGAGGAGTTGGGGGATTGTGGTGGGCATTGGTTGCTGCCGTGGTGTATTAGAGGAGACTTTAATGTTGTTCGTTCCCCTTTTGAGAGATCGACGGGGGGAAGGTGGACGTCTGACATGGAGTCCTTTTCGGCTTTCATTGATGATTCTGGGCTGGTTGACTTGCCTTTGGAGGGAGGGCCTTTTACTTGGTCTAGTGGACGTTCTCCTCTTACACTCTCTCGGCTCGATAGATTCCTTGTGTCGGGAGACTGGGAGAAGTTTTCTAATGTTGTTCAGGTTACTTTCGCTTGCCCTATTTCTGACCATGTTCTGTTGATGTTGGATTGTGGTGGGTTGCGTAGAAGACGATCTCCATTCAGATTCGAGAATATCTGGCTTCGTGCTGAGAGTTTCTGGATAGAGTTCGAGTTTGGTGGGATGGGTTTTGTGGGGGGGGGGGGGGGGGGGGGAAGGAGGACGGTACCCTAAACCATTTGCTCGCGGTTCACTTTCGTCTTCTTAAGGAAGACATTAAGATTTGGAACAAGGAGGTCTTCGGGAATCTTTTCTGGAGGAAGAATCGGGTCTTTTATGAGATTGTTGATATTGACCAGATGGAAGGTCAGGGGGTCCTGGCGGACTCCCTGAAGGCTAGGAGGGTGGAATGTCAGGCGGAGTTTGCTGAGATTGCTATAACGGAGGAGATTTCGTGGAGACAAAAGTCTCGTGCTTTATGGCTTAAGGAAGGTGACAGGAACATGAAGTTTTTCCATCGTTTGGCCAACGCCCATTGTAGGGGCAATCATATTGGTAGAATTCGGGTGGAAGGAGAGTTATTGTGCAAGGAAGATGAGATTTGCAAGGGTATTGTTGAGTTTTATGCGAAGCTTTTCACATAGTCTGTTAGGTGGAGACCTTTGCTTGAGGGGCTCCAGTTTGATTCTATCTCTAGTGAGGAGGGCTCTGGTTTGGAGGCGCTTTTTTCTGAAGAGGAAGTGTTGGTTGCTTTGAAGAGCTGTAACGGGGATAAAGCCCTAGGTCCTGATGGGTTTACTATGATATTTCTTTTGGAGTGCTGGGAGGTGGCTAAAGGAGAAGTGATGGGCACTTTTCATGCTTTCCACACTTAGGGCTCTTTTGAAAAGAGCTTGAATGCCACCTTCATCGTCCTCATTCCCAAAAAAGGGAGGGGGCGGCATTGGATGTTAGGGATTTTCGCCCTATTTGTTTGGTGGGGTGCATTTATAAGTTGATTACCAAAGTTCTTGCTAATAGATTGAGGAAGGTGTTGGAGTCATTTCTGACTCTCAGAATGCCTTTGTGGGAGGTCGTCAGATTCTGGACTCGGTTCTTATTGCTAGTGAGTGCGTTGATTCCAGATTGCACAGTGGGGTTCCAGGCGTTCTGTGTAAGTTGGACATCGAGAAGGTATACGACCATGTGAGTTGGAGCTTCCTTTTTTATCTGATGGAGAGGATGGGGTTTGGAGTGCGATGGAGGAAATGGATTCATTTTTGTATTTCCAGTGCTCATTCCTCTATGCTTGTGAATGGAGCTCTGTCGGGTTTTTTCTTTAGCTCGAGGGGGTTGAGGCAGGGAGATCCGCTTTTCCCTTTTTTGTTCCTCTTTGTGATGGAAGCCCTCAGCAGGTTGATGAGGAAGGTTGTGGAGCTGGGTTTTCTAAGGGGTTTCCCGGTGGGCAGGGATGTTGCTAGCCAGTTGGAGATTTCGCACCTGATGTTTGCAGATGATACTTTGGTTCTGTGTGATGCAGACGTGTCCCAGCTCAGATACCTAGAATGTGTTTTGATCTGGTTCCAAGTTGTGTCCGGCCTTAAGGTGAATGTTGGAAGGAGTGTTTTGGTTCCAACGGGTGAGGTCCCTGACATCGGGATGCTTGCGAGCATTCTTGGATGCTGTACAGGCTCTTTTCTCATTTCTTATTTAGGTTTGCCCCTGAGTGCTCCTTCGAGGTGTGTGAGGGTTTGGGATCCAGTTGTGAATAGGTTTGAGAGGCGGCTGGCGGGGAGGAAGAAGCAGTATCTTTCCAAAGGGGGGCGGGTGACTCTGATCAAGAGTACCATTTCTTGTCTTCCCATTTATTTTATTTCTCTGTTCCAGATTCCCTACTCGGTGGCGGAGAGGATTGAGCGTTTGCAGCGCAATTTTTTTTTTTTTTTTGGGGGGGGGGGGGATTTTCACCTGGTTCGTTGGGAGCAAGTTTGTAGGCCGATTCGGAATAGAGAGTTGGGGCTTAGAAGATTAGTACCTTTCAATAAAGCTCTCCTTGGGAAATGGTTATGGAGGTTTGGGGTGGAGAGGCATTGGCTAGGGAGGAGGGTCGTGGTGAGCAGATTTGGGGAGAGTAGAGGAGGGTGGTGCTCTCTTGAGGTGCATGGTCCTAGGGGTGTGGGGGTTTGGAAGTTTATTCGACAAGGCTGGGTTGATTTCTCCAATCATGTTCGGTTTCATCTCAGGGATGGCTGGCAGATTAGTTTTTGAGAGGATGTCTGGTGTGGGGACCTCCCTTTTGCTCTTGCTTTCCCTCGACTGTTCAGGATTGCTTCGGATAGGCAGGCTAGGGTGATCAACTATTATCATTTTGATAATGGGAGATTGGTTTGGGATGTTCGATTTAGGCGTCTGTTTCAGGATTGGGAAGTTGACGATGCCATTCGTTTTCTGGAGGTGTTGTATCGGCAGGGTGTTATGGTCGGAGATTCTGATGTTTGGATTTGGGCTCCCAATGCTCAGGGTCGCTTTGATGTGCGGCCTTTCTTCAGGTGTCTCACTCAAGAGCTTGAAGGTCCTTTCCTGTGGAAGGTAGTTTGGCATTCTAAGGCTCCTCTTAAGGTGGCCGTTTTTGCTTGGACCTCTGTTTTGGGAAAGATTTTGAATCAGGATAATTTGAGAAGAAGGAATCAGGTGGTGGTTAATCGGTGTTACATGTGCCTTCGGGATGAAGAGTCAGTGGACCATCTTCTTTTGCTCTGTCCTTTGGCCAATGAATGTTGGGATTTGATGCTTGGCCTGTTTGGCTTTCTTTGGGTCATGCCTGGCTCTTCTAGAGGTTTGATTGAGGCTTGGAAAGGCTGTTCTGTGGGGGCTCACATTCGAGAGGCAAGGAGGGCTGCGCCTCTTTGTATTTGGTGGTCCATTTGGCTTGAGAGAAACAGGAGATACTTTGAAGGAAAAGAGTCTCCTATTTCTGTTATGAAATTCTCTATTGTTTCCACTCTTTTTTGTTGGGTTTCGGGTTGAGATTATAGATCTATAGAGGACATTGTAGATTTTTTGTCCTCCTTGAAGGCTTAGTGGTTTTTGTTTTTTGTTGTTCCTTTGGGCTTTTTATACAATTCTTACTTATCAAAAAAAAAATAACAACCAACCAATCTAGTTTTGCACTTTGGAGTGCACATGTTTATTAACAAGAGCACTATATCAATTATCAAGATTACATGTACGTATTTCATTTATACACTCCAGCAAATTTAAAGAATGCCAGTCACATGAGAATTCCTCCATGTTAGTCTTATTTATCTGGAAAATAATTAGATAAACATACACTTGACTCCTCTGGCCTAGCATTCCTCCAAACTCCATCAAGTGCTATGATTTCTTTTTCCTCATTATTTTTTTTAAACACTTAACTAAGAATACCATGTCAAATCCTTCTAGACTAGAAGATTTTTCCCCTTCAACCTTCGAAATAGCTCTAACAATCTTTTTTCTTTCCAAATAATTGAGATAGGAATCTCTCTGATATCTGTGAGGCAGGAAGAAAGAACCATTAAACTTGGGTTTGGCAGATATATAAGGAATCTATCTGACCTCTCCTATAACCAACTTAACTATATCTAAACTGCTTGGTTTTGGCTTCATGATTCCTTCTCGCCTTCTAGCCTATTCGTAGCACATGTTTTATTTTTTTGAACAAGCCTGGTAAGTACAGCAGGGACTTTTTTTTCTTTTCAATTTACATATTAAGTTTATCCATAACTATTACAAAAAAATAATGAGCTCATTCTTATCCTTAATGTGTTTTGAAAATGAGTTGTATCTTTGCATTTGAAATTTAGTTTATATTTATTGTCGGAAATAATGTATCAGTAGTTTTGTATTTTTTTATATTAGGGGAATATTCCTTTTGTATGTTTAGTGTGGTTCGATATGTGCTTTCCTATTTGTAAAGATAACTAAAAGAGATAATGAGCAATAGCTGAATGTGTGGAATAAAAAATACCACGAGATAAAGGAATACCCTCCTTGTATGTGTCCTCTTTTGCAAATTTATTAACGAAAACCGGTTGTGACTACGTGACGTAAAGAAGACTATCCCTACTGTGTCACATCTTATGGTATGTGGCTTAATATGGTTTCATTTTGTTCCTTGTCTGAAAATGATCTGTGTTTGAGGTAACATTAAATCAACCAAACTAAACCATTGTCATTACTCATTGTTGCGAAATCAAGCAGAAAAAATAAGGAATCATCAATGAAACTCACACAACAACACAGATTTTTGCTTGGTTCACCCAAAAACTAGGGCTGCGTCCAATGGTTGTAGGGATTTCACTATGATGTTAAAAAACTGCACATGATACAGATAGTTCAGAATGAATAAATACCCTAGCACTATGGCAACGTAAGTGCGGAAAATACCAAATACCCCCCAAAAATTTCGGGTGGGGGCAAGCCCCCGAACCCCCACCTTCGGGCAGGGGGCTCTGTCCCTACGACCCCCTGCCAATTTACTGCAAAGTTGGGCCATGGTGTATAGTATTTATCAGGCTCCACACTACCCATCACTCGCTTCCTATCAAATTTGTTATTCAATTAAGTTTCCCAATACTAAGCATGAGAATTAGAGGTAGGAATTTGGTGCGTATAGAGCCTGATTTCAGGTCTATAGACTCTATATTGAGCTTCATCCTCCTATTATACCAGATTGTCTAAACCATCACTGGAAATACCTCTTTTATATTCTGGCGTAATTGTTGTTAAAAATGGTTTTTCTTGAAATAGATTAAAGTGTGTTAAGTCTGCAGTTTTGTTTGGGTATCTGTTCTTCTTTATAATTATCATGCTTTTGTAACAATGTAAGCCACCACTGTAAAAATGACTTCTGTGTCGTATGCATGTGCATTTTTTGGTTTGTGTATTCCATTTCCTACCTTTGATGCCATGGACGAGTTGCTAGTTTCAACTGAATCAATCCCATACTTGTCAGTTGGTCAATACCTTCTTTTTAGGTCTCCCTAATTTTTTAACTTTACTTTTAGTTTTTTTAATCAAGCTTTGAATTAACCGAACACAAGGGTTACAATGTTAAGGAGGCATACTCCCTGGGAACAACAACAACAAAACCTTCCAAACTAAAAAACTCAAACTAAAAGAAAGGACATACAAGTGGATAGAGAGCATAACAAGGCCTCTAAAAAGAAAGGAAACTAAGAAACCATGAAACTTCTTCAACATAGTAAACCATCACCCTAATTTTGGTTAACTATTCTTCCTCTCCTAACCCACACACACAAACACAAAGAAAAAAAAAAAAAAAAAAAAAAAAAAAACCACCAACAACACGTTGTCTTGGCTATGAGTGTTTTTAATGCATCACGTATTGTGGTGTTTGCATAAAACTGATATTCATGGATTGCTCTTTACTTTGTAATGTAGGAAGCATTGTTTTTACATGATATCTTATGATTCCACTTAAAATATGCAGGTGGGAAGTTCCCTTTCCTAGAACAATTAAAGCTATTTATTCTGCTCATCAAAAGGAGGGTGCGGATCCTCGCTTTTTAAAACTGGAACCGGTATTCAGATGTTCAAGGTTGAAGTGTGGTGACAGACAGAGGTAATTTGGAAGTTTGACATTCTGATGTTTTCTACAGATAAATTGAGCTTCTATCGATGTAATAGTAAATGAATTATCTTGTTATAAATATTCAAATGCTAGTTTGATACTAGAGACTTCTATTAATTTTAGGAACTGAAATCCTAAAAAGAACTTTGATGACAAACTGTACTTTCTTCTTTGGCCTCTGCTGCAAGCTAGAATTTTACTTGTAGGATTGGTGAACTTCTTTCCCCAAAGCTTAGGCAAAGAAAATGGAGAACAATATTCCAAAATACGTTTCTTGGTCCATTATGGTAGGTGACAGTTCTCATGATATATGTATGACGTGGGGAAATTATGTACAAAATTGCATATGACATTCATGTAATGTAATAGAAACCTTAGAATGTATATCATATGAAAATGTGGTCCGCGAATTTCCTCCTTGTGATAGGAAGACGTGTTGAAGAGTTGTTGGATGTCATGCTGGATCCTGGAGGGGTCATATAGAGAGTGATTGATGGAGGGGGAGAGGAAGGCGATGACATTCTGTAAGATTGATCACATTCGCTCTCATGAGTCACGGCAGGTGATCAAATACAAAATGTGTTATTCCGTAAATTTGCATATATTACATGGAAAGTTTCTCCTTTTTGGCATGACATTGGTATGGGTGGTGATACACAATACATGTTCACTTTACATGTGTGTTGGAAACAGACCTATGCTATTTTATGTAGTCTTGCTTCCAACTGTTGATTATCTAGCGTAGAGTTTTCACATCTAACGGTGTCTTGTTCTCTAGTGATTAGATTTTTTACCTTTGCATGGCTCTTTTCTCTGAAGGAAGCCTTACTAGGGTAATATTACACTTCAACCATTTTCAGGATCCCAGATCTTAAAATTTGACTTAACCATATAGATGAATCTATTAAATTCCTTTTGCTAGTTTCTGCAGGCCAGATACATCTATCTTCAATAGCTTGTTGAAATCTATCACTTCTTATAGGAAATCTTCACTTTACATTTAATTTTATTTGACAACCTTACTTTGTTGTTATTTACCAAAAAAAAAAAAAACCTTACTTTGTTGTTCCTTCAGTTGATGTCTTTCTTATTTACTGGCACTGTTTTGTTACACAGCATTCCTCTCACAGTGGAGTGGTCAGCATCATCTCCCCACGATTTCATTCTGGCCGGATGTCATGATGGAGTGGTAATATTTTCATTACACTTTGTATTTATTATTGTTTTCTGGTGTGCCCCTTTAGTTTTTGTCATACTTGATAGTAAGGGTAATTATCATGCTCTCTGTGTGTGTGTGTGGAGGGGGGAAGGTGCACAGCAGAAAAGGGATTTGGGAGAAATATTGATTTATGCAGTCAAAATTGATATATTTCCGAAACAATTGCCATGAATATGTTCGCAGCAGATGATATTAATAAATTTGCTCTACATTCAGGTTGCCTTGTGGAAGTTCTCTGCAAGTGATCCATCTAAAGGTATTAACATTATCAGCATCATATTTATTCCGTGTTTTCTTTTTTCTTTGTACATGGGTTCATAAATAAAGCTGGGGTATTGTTTTTGTATATTATTGTGCTACCATAATCCTAGAAAAGAAATATTCCACCTCTACTTATAAAACATATTCTCTGTGATGGCGTATGTATGGAAGATGAAGGGAAGTCCTTGCACTCAATAGTTTTCTGCTGGTATTAGATCAAATAGTTGAACACCAAATTGCACTATTTGACTGCAGATACGAGACCTTTGCTTTGCTTCAGTGCTGATACAGTTCCTATAAGAGCACTTGCTTGGGCCCCAGATGAAAGGTTGGTGATGCTAGATGAATGGTTTATATTTCTCTATTTGCTGGACTTTTACTCAATGTATACTTTTTCCTCATCTTTATGGAATTCTCTCTGCAATCTGGTTGCATTATATGTGTCAAAATTGAAGATAAATATAAAATGAAGAACAAAAGGATACACGTGGTTCAACCCCTAGGGCTTACATCCACGGCACACAAAGTCCAAAGGGTTACATATCTTTTTTATGCTCTCTTGATTTTGTTTACAATAACCACCTCTATTTATAGGTGAATTGGGGAAGACTTGTAACTAGAGAATAGAAAATTCTTGCTCTACAAGTATATTATAATAAAGGAATTTTACAGAAAGTCAAATACAAATATGGCAACAACTTGTTGGCCAAGTATAGCAACCTTGGGCTTCAATCACTCCTAACCACCCCCCCCAGGTTGGTACACGGAGATTTAACTCAAGTGTCCAACTTGAAACTAAAAATGAAGTTGTTAAGAGTATGAGACGAGTAAATCTGAGATGAGTTGATCCGGATATCTATGACGAGTTGATCTAAAGATCTGAGACGAGACGAGTTGATCCGAAGATCCGAAATAGGTTGATCTAGAGATCCAAGATGAGTGGACTATAGAGTATGGTATGATAAACCTGCACTGATACCATGTTGAAATTGAAAAAAATAGAAAACGAAGAACACAAGGATATACGTGGTTCAACCACTAGGGCTTACATCCGTGGCACACAAAGCCCAAAGGACTACATATCTTTATCATACTCTCTTGATTTTGTTTACAATAACCACCTCTATTTGTAGGTGAATTGGGGAAGACTTGTAGCTAGAGAATAGAAAATTCTTACTCTACAAGTATTATAATAAAGGAATTAGACAGAAAGTCAAATACAAATATGGCAACAACTTGTTGGCAAGTATAACAACCTTAACATTCTGTCAAGGAGTGATTTAAGGGATTAAATCACTCATATAATTATTCTCCAACAATATGCATGTTACATGTCTCATATATATCATCAATAGATCTGTTTGAAGTGTAGTGAGTGACTTTTATCCATCATCTTTACATGTTTCCTATGCTATTTATTTCAAAATTTTCTTCAGGATTATTTCAGTTTCACGGAATTGTTGACAGATAAAATAGCCAAAATGACATTCCGTTATTTAAATAAATTTAAGGGTTAAATTCACAAAACCCCCCTGCACTTTGTTTTTTTTTTTTTTTTTGACACTTTACCCCTTGTACTATCAAACAAACCCTGCACATATTATACATAAAAATGATTTCACATTTTACATACTTTATTCATTATCAAGATATCATAAATTATTGTTTATTTTTAATATTTTATTTTCAATATAATAAATTGTATAGTTTGCAATGTTAATATATTATACATATTTGCTAATAGTAACAAAGTTAATTTTACATTATATTGTAATTGTCATTATCGTTGCCTTTATCTTTTGATGAATTGGGTCGTAAATATACATCATATTATGTAATAATTTAAAATACTATATGTAATACATTCTATACACAAATGTTATACTCTTATATATTAAATAGTCTATGTTATATTTTTATTATATAATATATTATGAATATTCTTCAAATATTTAATTAAAATCTCAAATATCATATTATGTGTTTTATAGAGGCATATTATTTTATAAAATTATTATTTATTCTAAAATGTATTTCTTATATAATTACTAATTTATTATAGAATAGAATGTATTTAGATAGTTTTAGTTATTTTCAACTTTTTAGTATAATAGAATATATAGTGTTATATTATATTTTATTTATAAATATAACCTTTTATTATTGGTGTTAAATGGTATTTTAGTCATTTTTGTTAGCAAGGGTTGCTTCAGGGGTATAAAAGTCATTAAAAAGATTTACCATTAACTTTAACCGGAAACTAACGAAAAGGGGGCTTTGTGATGACTCTAGTATTACAGGGGGTTAAGCGTCATAAAAATGAAAGTACAGGAGTTTTTTGTGAATTTAACCCTAAAGATTTTTAAGTGTGCTGGAGACCACCTTTGATATGATGTCTAATTTGATGGCTGATTCTTGTGGTATACGTTAGGGTACCTCAAAAAAGAATCCGGTTGATTTATTAGTTTTCTAATATAAATGATGGGTGTAGGAATGAGGTGTCTTTTCTGGAATTTGTTATTCTTTATGTCCCTACTTTAGAGTTAGAAGTTTGGGGCAGTCACTTTGAGAGCACCTTGTCAGGCCCCGCTGATGGAGGTTACGCCATGCAGGCGACATGCAAGCGTTGAGTAGGATGCTACATGGCGACTGCATAGGAAGAGGAACGGGGAGTCTTTTCTGGAATTTGTTATTCTTTATGTCCCTACTTTAGAGTTAGAAGTTTGGGGCAGTCACTTTGAGAGCACCTTGTCACGCCCCGCTGATGGAGGTTACGCCACGCAGGCGACATGCAAGCGTTGAGTGGGATGCTACATGGCGACTGCATGGGAAGAGGAGTTTCTAAAGTCTTCTAAAGTTGTAGGTGGGAGAAGATTCTAGAGAATCGATCCCCACCGTCAGTTAGATGGCATCTTAGCCGTTCATTAGGGATGGGGGTGCTTGTAAGTAGGAGTAGGACTTCATTTTGTAGCCATCAATTCTTAGAGTGAGTCTTGAGAGCCTTGTAGAGAGTGACTAGCTAGCCTTGTACAAAGCATTCTTGAAGTTAATAAAAGTGTTCTTTCCTTGCCAACCAAATTTTGCCTACGTGAGTATGCAAGCCAAGAGTGAGGGGTGAGGGCCACTACAACACTAGGAAGAGCACGAGGGTAATGTGTTGGCTAAGGTGTGCACAAGAGTTAGGCTGACCAAGTACTTGCGCGAGTAGAAGCAACGTCTTGGTGCCGCCCGGTTTGGCTAGAGTGGTGCTGAAACTCTAAGCCCGTGATAACCTGCTCTTTTTTTGTTTGTACCCAGGACTTGTACTGCTATAACACCAATTTGCTGATGGCATGTCCCACATGTTGCCAAAAAAAAAAAGGCAGTGTTTGATAAAACTGTAAAAAAGTACTAAAAATTTTAAAGACTGAATTTTTAGGGCTAAAAATTTTATATGTCAATTATAAATTGAGACAATTTTGATACTGTGATGTTGTGGCCCGAATTTGGTGCGTAGTCACGTTACACCCCTTTTACGACCCGACGACCCTTCGTGTTACAAACGGAAACTTTTGACCCGTTTTGTCCATGGGTCGTGGATCCTAATTAGTATCTTGTAGCTCGATATATAAGGGCGCTTAGGGATTGGAATGGGGAAGAGAGACTCTGAAATTCGTACACAGTGGGGGGCTGAAACTTGTAATTTTCGATTTTACACATATTGAAGACTTTTGTTGGATCCTAACAGTGGACGTAGGCTGTTGCCGAACCACGTATAAATCTTTGTGTTCTTTGTGTGATGTGTTTACTTTTCTGTCGTGATTTTTGGTTCTATTTTGGGTTCGTTGCGTTTGTCACGACATATACTTTTTAAAATTTTCAGCATTGTCACTTATTTTTTTTAAGTGGTATCCATATTACGTTATCAAACGCAGTTATTCAATATTTTACTCAGAAATAAGTATGGAATTGATTTATCATACATTAGTTAAGTTGCATTCGTATGGATGAACATTGGTGATTGCTCTGCACTTTAATAAAAAAAGACATTGGCATGTTAGATGAAACAATTCGTTTTAAAAATAGGATTGATATATCATATGATTCTTTGCAATTTTTTTGGGTGTAGTGTTTCTAAACAACCTTATTGTTCTCATTAACATTTAATAAGAAACAGTTCTGCAACTATATGAAGATGAGTGTTGCTTTCTATAAATATTATTCACAATAAATGGGTACAGAAGACACCTGTGGTTTTTTTTTTACAAAGCGTTGGTGCTTTTCTTCCATATTCCGTCACGGTTGTGAAAAAGACACCTGTAATTGTTCTGACAAAGCATTGGTGCTTTCCTTCCACATTCCATCATGCTTGTGAATGATCTGAACTGTTCATGAACAACTTGGGCTCATTTTGATGAAAGGTTTGTTCAAGCTCATTTGTTTAGTACTTTAGTTGAGCTCAAGATATCAGAGCAAGGACACTGCACGCATTTATGATATTGCCTTTCATGTTTATTTATGGCTTTGAAAAACTGTTATCTGCAGTCTTCCATGATGGAATGCATTAAATTAAAATGAAAAAATTTGTAAGATGCTTCTCTAAAGCAAGGCAAAGTTTCGTTAGTTGTCCCGACTCCCGACATCATTCTATCTGTCAGTAATTTTTCTGTATCCTTTTATTCCTGCTTTCTAGTTTCAATATTTCTTTAAACTTTAACTACAAAATTCAAACATGTATTTTAAGTGTCATTGCTGGTAAAAACTCGAGCTGACAAGCATTTGGATGCTGGTTCTAGTCTAAGAATAATCATTTTGTATAAAGTAATGCCATGGTTAAGTCTATCTTGCATGGACCAGGCCTGTATTTGATAATGGCCTTTCAAAAATCCAGCACGTAGCACACAAAAGAGCAAGCATTCTCAATCATTTTTCATCCATGGCTGAGGTAAGCTTAGCGGACTTGGGATTTTTTTTTTTTTTTTGATAAGTAAGAATTGTATAAAAAAGCACTCAAAAGGGGAGCGCATCCCAAAGGAACAACGAGAAGCAAAAACCACTAAGCCTTCAAAGAGGCCAAAAAATCAACTTAGCGGACTTGGAATTTGAGAACAAAAAGTTGAATGTAAAGCTCAAGGGAGTTTGAGGCAAGCTTGACCACTCCGTTACTTAACTCAGTCTAGTCGAATGTAAAGCTCGAGGGAGTTTGAGGCAAGCTTGACCACTTTGTTACTTAACTCGGTTCAGTAATTGACTCAGCTCATTTATAGCATTATATGATGGTTTTAACTCCAATAGAGTTCCCATGTTAATTCCATTTTTTAAACTACCTCAGTCATTAATCCTTCACCTGATTGGAGTGGTGCTACTTTTGTCTATGAGTGAAAAAAGATGTGGCTTATGTTGAGTGATGTATGACTTGTCAGTTGGTATAAGGTAATGCTCAAAACACCAATACAACATAGGTCACTGAAAGGATCTTACATTTAGAGGACAATCAACACAAGATTACTTTACCAACTTTTACCTTTCATGATAAATTGCCTAAACTAAGAAAAAAAAAAAAAAATAGCAATCAAATATATTTTTATTGACCAATCAGAATTATCTCCCAGGATCTATAATGGCCTCAAAAGGTCCCCCTAGACCTAGCTGCTATTGAAGCTCCATCTACAAATGGATAAGACTTTTTCTTGGTGTATATTTTCAAATTGTAAGAAAGTGAGTGGTAAACATGCAGCTCTAATTATTTGAAAATACAAAAATATAAGGTATTAGGGTTCAAAGCCGGCACTTCATTTATGACTTGACTGCTTTTAACAATGAGATGAAACCCTTGCTATGTCAACAAGGAAAATGAACGACATACCATTCCGTTATGTTTTTTGAATCTGGCAGAGATGAATCACTTGAAAAGGACTGCCATCAAACTATTTTGGCTACATTTCCTTTACCTAGTAGAGATGAACATTTTTTCCCTTCTTCCTTTTCTATCTCTCTTCTTCTTCTCACCAATTAAGACACAAGGGTATGACAGCCTTGTCCTACCATTGTCCACCCACATTTGTATAGTGTCGTATGGACAGGAGTCCATAGGACAAAGAGGCAGATTCATGTAACATAGGCGTGTAGTAGTATATAACTTCAAAATTAGAACTTTACTTTCACTTGTAAAACCAATCTAAAACAGCCAAAGTGCATATATGAAGAACTAAACCCCAAGTTGGAAACATGAAAATCCCATGTCCATAATCTTCCCCGAGCCCAAAATGTAAAGGAACATGTATGAGCTGAATCAGCTGCATATAAACTAAAAGAAAAAATAAAATGCAACTCAACATGACTCAAACTCTGTTATAAAAAAGAATGACATTAACAAGACTCAAACTTATAAGAAGAATATGACTCGTAATCATAATATAGAATCTTTTTTATGCAAGGTCTCGGGTCCTGCCTCGAAATCAAACTAATTGGTATGATTTCTCTCTTTTGAATTTTCTTTTTGGTAAGTTTCTTACATATTGCATCACTTTGCCACCTTTGGTTCTTCCTCTTTTACTTTTATTTCCCTCTATAATTTCTTGTTTGTCTTTTTTTGCTGCTTTTTACCCCCTTCTCTTCTTCTTTGGTACTGGGTGAGGAGAACCCTTCTTTGGTTTCTTGTATTTTCTCTTCTTTCCTTGATGAGGTTTGTTTTTCTTGTAAAAAAATGCAGTTATATATATGTGTATTGACAAAAGAAAATATTTGAATAATATCAGAATTAGTTCATTGTTAACCATAATAAGTAAAACCATCACCATTGAGAGAGAAATGAAGAGATTAGATGATGAATGGGTGGTGCTCTTCTAGGTCGTGAAGAAACTGTATCCAAGAGGGAAGGAAATTAAAATAAAGGGTAAATTGCACTGACACTCCTGAGGTTTTGGTCAACACCACTCAGTGGACGGTCAATGGCTTTTTTTACATTGAAACCCCTGAGGTTTCAAAAATATGCATTGACATCCCCTCCAGACCTCTGAAACCATATGAAATTACCTTTTAACCCTTTGACTTGTCAACAACTCCATTTAAATCATGAAATTACAAATTTAACCTCCTAACTAAATTTAATGGACCAACTAACCTCTTCATCTCTTCTATACATATAAATATGGTTTATATATAATAATACTTATACCACCATAACCACCACCACAACATAAAAATAAAAAACAAAAAATAAAAGAGGATTTTTTTTAAAATAGCCAGATAAACTGTACACCATCATAACCACTACCGCAACATAAAAATAAAAAAGAAAAAAGTTTTTTTTTTTGAAATAGCCAGATAATTGTACACCACCATAACCACCACCACCACACTCAAACACCACAGTAGAAAAAAAATTTGAAAACATCCATGGCCAACCCATACTTATATGTGCCAAATGCCACCAGAACCACCACCACACCAAGACAACACCACCAACACACCCTGACTCTACCAGAATCACCACCACCATCACCACAATAGAAAAAATAAAAATGAAAAATTTGAAACACCCTAATAACCTAGACACCACCACAACCACACCTAAACCAAACCACCAGAGTAAAAAAAAATTTTAAATAGCCATAGTCAGCCTAGACCCACCACAACAAGAAAAAAAGAAAAAGAAAAAAGCAGCCATGTCCGAGATTGGGAAGAGAGAGAGGGAATGTCGGCGGCTAGGTAGTAAAATGAACCAAAAAAAAGAAGAGAAAGATTAGGGTAGAGAAAGATGTTTAATGATGAGGGTAGTTTTGTCAATTAACAGGACTGATATTTTGTAAATTAATTGAATTAAATAATTAAGGGCAAATATGACATTTGAAACCGCAGGGGGTGTCATTATTAAAAAAGCCGTTGACCCGCATCTGAGTGACATTGACCGAACTCAAGGGGTGTCAATGCAATTTATCCTAAAATAAATTTGTAATCTTGCTTCTATAAAAAATGTTTTAAATAAATTGTCTGAGTTGGAGGGCTTTTCTTTTAACATTCCAGATATACGCAAACCTCCTGTCGGCCACTACCTTTCTACGCTAAAATAGCAAGAAAAAGAGACATGTCATTTGGTGTGCCAGCAACTAGCTTTTATACTGTGGCCTTCAAGTAAATATTTACGCAGATTTCATTTGAAGGTTTTCTTGTCAAGGTTGGACTTTATTTAACCAACTTTGTGGTTAACATGGATGTTGGGATCTTTCTAGTTCATAAAGGTTTGTCTAAATGTTTATTTCATGTGCCAACCAAATGCATCCATCTGCTATCTTGGCGACCTTTTGTGTAAAAGAAAGTGCACATAAGTTATTGAAGATCTTTCTGTGTCTATTTACATTATTCTTAATTTATCTTTTGCCTTTTAATTTAGTCCCTTCCCACCCCCCCCCCCCCCCCCCCCCCCCCCCCCCCCCCCCCCCCTTCTTTTGTTAAAATTCACAGCGATCCTGAGAGTGCAAATATAATAGTCACTGCTGGACATAAAGGCCTAAAGTTCTGGGACATTCGGTAAGTATGATTGTTTGGTTTTTTTTTCCCCATCTACTATACAGTTGTTATTTTCCCTTCATTTTGATTTCAACTTTGGTGATATTGAAAGGTCAAAGAATCTTCATGTGGTGATGTATAAATACTATGGTGAATAGTGATACTGAATATAATTTAGTTGATATTGGTAACTTAAATAGAATCGTTCAAGATTATTAGGGGTTCTTATGCTTATATTCCTCATCTATGTATTCCAGTTAATTAATACTTACCAAAACAAATCTATGTATTTCAGTTAATTAATCACTTGGCTATGGATAATTTCATCTTTCATTCTCCATCTTTCTTTAAAATTTTATGGACGTGTAGGAAAGGTGTCATAACAGAATAGATATTTAAGATATTTAGAACTTTCTGGCTGTATTCTCAAGAGTTAATTATGATGAATTCATTTTGCTACTGGTTTAACCAAGTGTTGGACTCTTTCAATAAAAGATTGCTACATCTTCTGTTATCTCAATCTTTATTGGACTGATAATTCAAGGATTCAAAGCACTTGAATTTATATTCTTATTAGACTCGGTCATTCTTTTTTAGTATAACATATTTGATTATTTATCTGTATATGGTGAATGCCAATTGGATTAAAATTTGTTTTGGGTCTTCAATGTTTGCCTCAAGGTGCAATTATGGATTGAGTATAAAACTAATTCCCAAATCTTTTTTGCTTATTCAGCCATCTTAACTGAGAAAAATTATTCTAGGAAAATATCAAACTCCCACTGAGATTGAATTTCTATCATATTTTCAGACATCAGTATATGGATGTAATTCTGTTTAGTGTCATCTGCCAAAAATTTGAAAAGTACAGCGAGAAGCCTAGAGAGAGGGATTTTTGAAAACCAATGAGACATATGAAACAGATGAAAGAAGCAAATGATTTATTTCTCGTGGATGGTGGCTTCAATATTTAGATTCCTTGCAACTTAGAGTTTTAACTTTGTTCCATCCCTCAAGAATTAGGACGGACAAGTGATATAGCCTACTCGCAATTACGTGAAATTAGTTTATGGAAATTTGATGTCTTTTCTGTGAGCCTCCCAAGTACCACAGTTTTAGAATCTGACGGAAACTCTGGCCCAATTTTCCAATCCAGTTGCAGCCTTGCATTAGTGTACCTAATCCTTTTGAGTTTCCTAATTATAAAAACATTGCATATGGTTGTCCTTGTGAAGTGTGCTGATGTCTTTTGTTTTTGTATGTGATTCTTTGATTATTAAATGATGGTGAATGTTTTTTTTGTGTTATTGTCAACTAGAAGTGTCAAAAGCTGGCACTTTCAATATATATGTAGGCATATTGGAGCTTGAGTGCATTTCATGTTGTTCAACTTTGACGATGTTTTTTTGTTGTGAAATTAATGCAATCATTTTATCATGCTTAATTTTCTATGATGTTTTTCTGTTGCTTGCAGTGACCCATTTCAGCCCTTGCGGGACCTTAATCCAGTACAAAGGGTCATATATAGTTTGGATTGGCTGCCAGATCCAAGGTACTAATTGAACTACTTTAGTCAAAAAGGTTTTCACTCCTGTTAGAAATTTCACTTCTATCTTTGATGTATGTCTTCCTTTCTCCTCAACTAATTGTTTATGCTTCTAGATGTGTTATTGTATCCTATGATGATGGAACACTACGGATCCTCAGCTTGGTGAAGTCTGCATGTGATGTCCCGGTTACTGGGAAACCTTTTGTTGGGAAACAACAACAAGGATTCCACAGTTATTATTGCTCATCATTTACAATTTGGAGCGTTCAAGTGTCGCGACTAACAGGTTTTTCCTATATACTTGAATATTTTATTTTTAATTGTTTGCAGTAAATTTACAACTTGCAATAGTGTAGATATTGTGGTATATATTTTGTTGGAACAATGGAAATGCACGAACATCGAGATCCAATGAAAGTCAAAAAAGGACTCACACACAAACACAAGATATAACGTGGTTCGGCCAAAACCTGCCTACATTCACCGATGAGAAGAGATTATACTATGATTCGCAGAGATATTACAACAATAGAGTACCAATACCATGTACATGCCTTTTCACCATGTACCACTCCACGAGCCTATTCTCTCGCTATCAATGTCACCAGTGTTTTCCTACTCTACTAACCCATAAACTACCTCTATCCATCAACTCCCTCATGAGACTACATTGCTCTCAGTCTCATAAGTCTCAACCCATAATCTAGGTGCTTATTAATAGAGTTCCATGTATGGTAATAGTTCTTCTCTCTCTAATTTTGTCAATAGAATTTTTTCTCTTGACTTTGGAAAAGAGATAATCATTGCAAATATTCTCTCTATAGCGGAATGACAAAACAAAATCCATGTAACCAACTCCAAATAGCTGGGGTAAGGCTTTGTTTTGTTGAGTTGAATTGATTTTTTTATCTCCAAACCTTCTCTCAGAAAATGCTAAGAGGCCGAACTAGACCTAGAAGGAGGGTGAGCAAGTGTTGGAAACTAAATAACTAACATTAACTGAACTTTAATTATCAATAATAAGCACATAAAAACTAGCATTATGCATAATTATAAAGCATAAAAACTTTCACACGAGCACTAACTTTTAGGTTTTTACGTGCAAAACCCAATAGGGAATAATCACAGGACCTGGTATATGGCAGATGAAATTCTCTATCAAATGAAAGGTTTAAAAACCTAGGATTTAATTCTAACCCTGGAATCACCTAATTGAAAGGTTTCAAATTCATACCAGGCATTCTCTTTGAACTCTGTTGCTACCGGTCAACAAATTCGCTCTTCACGCTATCCGCTCTTCAATGTATGCTTTGAGCTCCATTTCTTGTTGTCCCATTCCTTTGTTGTGCAAAATTTACTATGGTATTGAAGTCCTTGAAGATCTAGAATTTGTATGCTTAACATTCAAAACCACTCACCATCTGTATGCAATGATGATGAATGAGATAAACAAAATGCTAGCAGTTAGACTGGTAGGGTGCATTGATTTTTTCATTTTGATTCTACAGAATGCTTCATGTAGTTTTCTGAAAGCATATGATATTTTGATAGACCTCGGAAGCTGAAAAAGATTAGGCTTTTTAGAGTTTGAAACTGTTTTGGAAACTGCCTTTTTGTAGCTTCAATCAGTCAAACCTAGTCTACTGAGTTTTGAGCAATCCTTTGATTGATTGAACTCCCCCGTCCTAGTTTCCTTAGGATTTCTATTTCAAAATCACAATGCATTATAAAACACAATTTTTAAGATCAAAACATGCAAATTGAAAACCCTAGCATTTTAAATCATATGGATGCATGCTTATGAACCTAAATTTGTGAGTGAACAATCGAGAGTTAAATCTACCTTTTTAATGTTTCTTGAAACTTAAAATCTCCCTTATGCATGTGCCCTTTGATAGAGGTAATTCAACTACCTTAACTAAAAACATAAAAACTAAAACTAAAGATTTGCATTACAGACTCTTTTCTCTACGGAATTTTCCACCTTAAACTCTATTGATGTAATAATCTCACTTCCGAAATGAGGAATAAGGTGAACGAGTGTCTAGTGGCCTTAAGCTCTTGTAAATGAGCAAGGTCAGTAGATAGAGAAAGTGCATTACTTATTTTGGAGAGAGAATGAAAACATATTAGTGTTGTGCTGATTTTTATCAGCATGAAAAATTAGAAGAGGAAGAATTGCTACCCACTATCCTTCACCTTCTCTTCTCTCTCTGTCTTCTCCTCTCCTCATTTGGAAGGTTCACGAGACTGTTGAGAAACTGATGGCCATGTGGATCACCTCCCCTTCTCCATCAGTCCATCATAATCTTCTCCTCCCGTCATTTGTTGAGTAACCAATAGCCCAGTGGATTCTAGAATTATGTTTTTTTGTTGGGCTTAGAAGACTGTGTATACCTTACTCTTAAGTTGGAATTTTTGTGGATATTTATAATTTGTGTTGACGTTAATATTTAAGTGCCAACATAACTTTCTAAATTTATCAAAATGGTTCTTTTTGTTTTGTTATTTGCATGTTTCTCGTGTGTTCATGCTTTGAAGGTGGGGATATAGGCTTAGTTTAGGAGTTCAAAACGCCTTGGCGGCTTACACCAATTAGGATGGCATCCATACTGCATAGTATAATAATTAAATAACCAACTCTGACAGGAACTCTAGGTTGCTGCTCAAAATTATTTGTCAAATTGCACTCTTTTCATCAAACAAGTTACTTTTGTATCTCGTGACCATTTTCTCATTAGTCTCTCTTAAGAAGTTACAGTTGGATTTTGTAATTTGATTTGTTATATTTTATTGAAACTTTCTATTGACTTGCAACTACCATTGACAAATTTCATATTACTTTTTAGGCATGGTTGCATACTGTAGTGCAGATGGTACCGTTCTTCGTTTCCAGGTGGGTTCAACTTCAGGTTATATCCTTTTGCTGTCAAATTTATTTGATCTATTATCATTGATTTTCATGTTTACTATTCTTAGGTATATTTTGAACATGAGCGTTCGAGTGTCAATGAATTTTTACTTTTTTATAGAGAATTTCATTGCTTGTACATGGACGATTGCATCCCAACCAATGGTCCTTTCCAAAGATAATTTCATTTTAACAAATAAAATAATCGAAGGAAAAAAAAATTTCATAAGTAAAATTTCATTAAAAACCACTCAAAAGGAGGGCGCGCCTTGAAGAACGACTGCACAGGAGGCCTACAAGTTGCAGCAGGCCCACTGAACTCTCAAACTATCCACAAAATATTTGAAGTCCTCCAAAGATTTACAATGCGCCATTCCCTAACCTCCCCAAAAACTAGAGCGCCTAAAAATAGAATGTTTTAACACCCAGATAGGAGTTTCCTCTCCATCAAAGGAGGCTATTCCACTCGCACCACCGTGCCAACCACAAGCAAAGGGGAACTACCTTCCAAGCATCTCAGACTTGACTACCTACTATACAACCAGCCAAGGATCCAATGAAGGACCAATGGAGACAATTGCCCCCACTGAATTTTCATTTTTTTATTTTTTTGTATTTATGTACCTATAAATTTTAAATTGTGCCATTTTTTTGTTAAAAGCCGCGCCCACTCACATACTTCTCTGGTCCGTCACTGTATACAACCTCTCCTAGCCCCAAGCATACTCAATGTGGAACCCGGCAAAGCCCTATGACCACCAAAAATTGCGAAAAATGTGGCCCACACATCCCTAGCCACTAGAGAATGTAAAAGGAGATGGTTTACCAACTCCTCATTACTTTTGACACACCAATCTGGCTTTCGAGGAAAAGAGGTCCCCAGCATCCAACGACTTCTGATAGAAGGAACTCACCTCAAAACTCCCATAACTAGAAGCCACCCAACACCACTCATCAAGCCCCTCCCAACCATATTCTAGCGATACAAAAAAGCTAGAAACTCAACGATATCGTCGAACTCTGAATCTTGAAAATGCCTATAAAAGGGATTTGGTGCGCCAATCTACCTTCCAAGGAAAAGAGGTGCCCTGGGCATCCAACAGCCTCTAATAAAAGGAATGCACCTCAAAACCCCCACTTGAAGTCACCCAACATCACTCATCAAGCCCTTCCCTAAACATATTACAGCAATACAGGTAAGCTTGAAACTCAATGATATCATCCAACTCTGAATCTAGAAAATTCATTTAGAATTGCACATTCCGAATCATCCTCCAGCTATCAAGCCGATAATATTCAACAATTGAGGTATGCTTCTCCAAAACAAATGAAAATGTCTTCGGAAAGCACATGCTAGCAGTTTATCTCCACACCAAGCGTCACCCCAAAACAGATATGCCTCCGACTCCTTACCTTGAACAGGATATGTTTTGAAAATACATTTCAACTGTTCCAGATTAACTTCCAAATAACTTACCCCACCTCTAACTCCAAGGAGCTTGATTCACCCCTAGCTTCTCCAAACTTGCTCTTGTTAATACTCCTCCTTTACTCATGCCTCTCCACCCCAAACCTCCATAGCCACTTGCCCAACAAAGTTTTGGTAAACAGATCCAATCTCTTGACACCCATACTCCCTAGTTTTGCAAACCTGCTCCCAACTCACAAGATGGGACTTAATTTCATCACCCATGCCACCCCACAAGAAATTTCTTTGAAGCTTCTCAATCCTCTTCGCAACAAAAGAGGTAATCGGAAATAGGGAATAGAGAGAGAAATTAAGTTGGAAGAGTTAAATGCCCCCTTCAAAAGATATTGCTTCTTTCAACCTGCAAGTCTCCTTTCAAATCGCTCAACGGCTAGATCCCAAGAAGATATCTTCCTTGATGGTGCCCTGCCGCCCCCAAAGGCAAACCGAAATACAACACTGGAAGTAAGGGTACAACTTGGGCCTGCCCAGTCCGAACCTGACCTCAACCCCATTTCGGGGTGGGTTGGGCTGGCCCGAGGTAACACAAATCTGGGCTTGAATGGGACTCAACCCGAATATTCACGGGTTGTCCGGGTCAACCCCCCCCAACACACACACAAATCTGGCCTAAATTTTTTTCTTCCCTTTTTTACTATTTGAAGTTAATTTCAAAAAGATTTTAAAAATGTCATTGCAAAGGTAGAATATGTATATATTATTATATTTTTTAAATATTGAAAAGACAGTATATATTATTATATTTTTTTAAATATTACTTACCATTGAACTCTTATAAAAAAATAATATGGATGACATAAGTATAATAAAAAAAAATAAAAATAAAAATTAAAGAAAAGGTTCAAAATGGGCTCTGCCCATGAACCCAAATTCGTGTATATATATTTTTTTTATTTGGCAGATTAATTGGATTGATATATTGTTATTATTTTAAAATCTCTCTCTCTCTCTTACCTGCGTATTTACACCTATCCACCACAATTGATCCTTCAAATAAAATTATAGCTATTACCTAACCGTCCAGTCTAACATCTAAAGGATCTCCCTAGAAACATTAAGCCCCTCTTTCTTCTCTCCCAAACAAAAAATAAATAAAAATGACTTGAAATCTTCAATTTGGGTTTCAAAAACAATTGACCAAATAAAAAAAAAAAAAAATCACCACCCACCCCCAAACAACCCAACCACTTCTCTGCATCAATCAATTTAAAGATCTGTTTAAAAAAAAAAAAAAAAATCACAACCAAACAACACCCTTTCTCTGCATCAATTTTTTTTTTTTCCAACACCCACTCCCAAACACATCATCACATCCAAACAACCCCCTCACCTTCTTTTAGGAGGTACCAATGTCATGATCAGCTGCGGCAGCGATGCAGAATGAAGATGGCACTGGAGGCAAAGGATGAAACAACGGCAACGGAGGCAGAGTTGGAGGAGAAAGACAGCAGCGGCGGCAAAGGTGGAGGAAAATGGTGTCGGCAGAGGAGGAGGAAAATGGCGGCGATGGAGGTGGTAATTGGTGGGTGGCGGTAGATGGTGACAGCTTCTTCTTTCAACATAAGGATTTTTTTTTTTTTTTTTTTTGCAAATCTAGTTATTGTTATAAAAAATAAAAAGGTTAAAAATCAAATTCGGGTTGGACGGGTTAGAATAGTTCTAACCTGATGCCAACCCAAATTGGGCCCAGGTTGAGAATTTTCAACCCGATCCCAACCCAAAAAAATTCGGGTTGGGCTGGGCTAACCCACCCAACTTGCACCCCTAACTGGAAGATCCCACACCACACCGCAAAAAATTAGCGAAAGAGGCTATCTCACCAACACAATCTCACTCTTCCCAAAATTGATTTTTAATCCAGAAACAGCTTCTTTGGCTAATATTAGAGCATACCTCTGGTACCTCAGCTCTGCATCATAGAAAACAATGGTATTGTTAGCACAGAGAAAATGAGATATTTCCAACTGATTCGAGGAATCCCTGCCCTCCTGAGACGCTATTCTTACTGACTTTATTGTACCGAAGTACACCTCAAATATAACCCAACTCCACAGCCCTCCTCATCAACCTGTTGAACGCATCCATCACAATAACATAAGAGGGGACAAGGCATCCCCTATCTCAAGCGTGAGCTGCCAAAGAATCCAAATGGTGACCTATTTACGAAAACTAAAAATTTCACTTTGGAAATACTGAATCAGACACCTCTCCAAAACCCATCCTCTCCAGAACATACAACAAAAAACTCCAACTCACATGATAATAAGCCTTCTCAACATCTAGCTTACCAACAATCCTCGACGCCCCACAACTAATCCTGGTATTCACGCACTAACTAGCAATCAGAATTGAATCCAAAATCTGACTCCTATCAACTAGTGCATTCTGGGATTCCAAGGTCACACCATTAACAACTTCCTTCAATCACGGGTCTAGGACTTTAGTTGTTAGTTTGTACCATCAGATTAATAGGTCTAAAGTCCTTAACTTCAATAGTCCCATCCTTTTTGGAAATGACAGCAATAAAAGAAATGTTTATACTTCTCAAACCGACCATGCACATGGAAGAAACTGACAGCATCCATCACCTCCAAAGTGAAACCATCCGGCCCCGGATCCTTATTCCCATTACAGCTTCAAAGCCAAAAACACCTTCCCTTTGGCAAAAGGGCTCTCCAACGGGCCTTTATCTTCCTCTGCAATAATCTCAAACTCTAAGCCATTCAGCAGGGGTCTTCAATTAGAACCCTACGTATTCAATTAATAAATTGTGGCAATTCCTCTACTAAAATCCTTCTCCTTGCTCAAAAAACACCATCCACACGGATTTTCCGAATGTGGTTTACTCCTCTGGTTAGCACTGGCTAACCTATGAAATCATTTGTGTTCTTATCCCCTTCTTGAGCCACGAGGCCCTCAACTTTTGGCACCACGTCATCTCCTCTAGAATAACAATCTCACCGATCTCTGCATTATACTCTCTTGCCCTTCTCCACATGGGTTGTGATCTTAAATTGGTGTAACCAACACCACTTGAATAACATCTGGGAACTTCTCTTCTCAATCCCTGAGATAAAGAATCATCCAAGTGGGATAAAGTAGGAACATGTCTGCCACTAGACCAAGTCAAAGAAGCATCTTGCATCGACAAATTAACCAATTGATGTGCTCAAAGAACTGCTCCATAGCTCGAGATTATCTCCCTCCAGTGGTTCTTACAAAGAGAAATCTAACCACATTAAAGTCCCCCCCTCCCACACACCAAGGAAAATCCCATCTCATCCGAGTGTAAATTATGTCCCACAATAAGCCTATGTCCGCATCCTCGACGAGACTGTAAACTCCGGAGAACACCCAATAAGAATCATCCTCCTCCAGAGAGAACAAGCAGGAGTTTGAGAAACCTGATCGACAAGCTTCTCCTCGTCAAGTGGATCTGTTGAATTCAGGTAGAAATACAGAGATTCAATAATGAACACCTCCCTTTCTACTCGTTAACCTTAGAAACTCAACTTTATCCCACATGACCAAGATACCCCCTGTTGAGCCAATGGCATCAAGAGCTTCCCACTCAACGAACCACCATCCCCATAGTCTCCTCACAATCTCATCAGAGGGAGAGGCCTATTGGGGCTATTGCAAGCAAACCACCTAGGCACCCCACTTCCGCAACAACTAGTCAACCCCAATTTCTTGCTCACCTCCCCTATGTTATCCATCATCTAGTTCTCCTCCCTATCATCTGCGAACCGAACAATCATGTTATCCCCCTCCCTTTCAGGACCCATGACTGCCAGCAACTAACTAGGCCCAACGACCCAACCGATCACCTGCAGCCTCCTCCCTCACCACTACAACAAGATTGAATTCAAAGGGATCACTGGAAGCCCCTCCTCATCATCTCTGCAGGGTATTTATTGAATATGTCCCTTCCCCACCCTCCTGTGGCGACTTGACACAGCCTTCCAAACTCCCTGTGAAGTCTCAACTCCATTTTTTAGGCTGTTGCAGTCGTGCCTCCCTATCACCCTACAGTATTGCCTCCCTATCCCTATCCCTTTCACTCACCGGTGGTGCCTTCCACTCCCTCTGTGAGCACCCACTAGTAACCCCATCATCTCCTGTAATCCCCAGAAGACCCGAAGAAAAAGACAAAAGAATGGTTATGGGAGTTATGAGAGTTGGGCTTTATTTTTAATCCATCTTCTTATAGGCCTGGTAAGGAAATATGGACTGCACTTCCTTCATTACCTTTGGCCCATGCTTGGCTGGCCACTTCTCTTTCTTGGCCTAAGTTCATCTCATACGCTAATGTTGGTTGGAAAAGGTTTGGGCTTGGAGAAACTTCTTCATGATACGGTTCAATTTTCGATTATCATACTAATAGTTTATGATTATCATAGTAATAGTTTATGATAATCTCTTAAGCAGAGCCCACCAGGTATTCAGGTGGGAGGAGTCCTAGACCATTATTTACATTCTAGATGTCAATCTTTGGTGCTTAAGAGCTTGTGATTACTCTGGAACACGCTTGATTTACTTGATAAGTGGATATAGCCACCTATGCACCTGTTGATTTGATGAGACTATCTTAAATTTTGAAACTAATTGAAAAGCTTAGTTCTTTTGTTTTGAGCTTAGATAGAGATTACAAAAATCCATAGCAGCCGATGAATGACTCCAGTAACCTTTTGGGTGTCCCCAGCTGCCTTTGTGTTTTTTATACTTCACAGTAAACAACTTAAGAATATAAAAATATAAATTCATCTAAATTTTGTGATTTGAGTATGTTTTGCTGTTTTCTCAATATAAATATTAAGGATGTGAAATAGTGTGGCTGAGGACCCATGTGTAGCGCCTTGTGAAATGAAGACTCTAAATGTGATCTTGAATTGTTAACTACATAAACAATACTAGTGCTGCATATGTAGGACTTGGGACTTGTCTTGATTAATGCTTCCTGGGGCTCTTCCACCCTCTTTTCCACTTTGCTTTCAGGTGACATGATCAAGCCTGCATATAAATTTTTTTGTGAAGCACTAAGCATTCTTCCCAATTTTTGGGTTTTGCTCGACTGTACTTGTCAGTGAAATATTTTTATTTAATGAGAAGAAAAAAACCTTGATTAGATGACATTTTTTTCTCGGAACTATTTCTCATTGGTTCTATTACTTTTAGATCATGTTGAATTCAATTTTTCGTTTGACATTATTTTTTATTTACAATGGAAAAACAACTTGTAAAATTGTGAAGTCAGCCTAATTGATTTCCAGAAACATCACAGCGGAGAAAATATTTTTGATACGGACGAATTAGAAGAATATGGATCTGCAGCAACAGGCTCTGATCCTCAGCCATAACTTCAATGAGTTGGGATCCTCTGTGGTAAAGCATGCGCTGTACCGGCATCAGACGGACCCCAGCTCATACACATGTGAGCGCTCACACATGAGAGTGTGGGATCTGTCTGATACAGTACAGCATTAGGGCTGCAAATGAGCCGAGCTTTGGCTTGCTCGGGCTTGACTCGCCAGGTTCATAAGGCTGCTCGGGCAAGCTCAACTTAGCCAAGCTCGGGCTCAGCCCGCCAATATTTGGACAAGCTCGGGCTCGGTTCGGCTCAAGCTCCATTGCAGAAATCAGCCTCTTAATCTTCTAGATCTCTGCAAATCCCTCAGCTCTTTGATCGCATTACAGAGGATGGAATCAGTTTCTCAATCATCGGGTTAAACCCTTTTTTCTTATCTAATTCTTTCTAAGCACTCTAGCCCCAAAGTATTTTTCATCCTCTTATAACTCCATGAAAAGAAGAAGAAAAAAAAATGGTTGTCAAGATAAAGAACATAAATCTGAGATGGACGGATTGAGAGGCCTCCTATGGCTGCCGTCTTCAACAAGAGTTAGGAACTTCGGTTTTCTTTTCTTTTGTTATAGTTAATTGGTTATAACATGTGTAATCCAACGGCTGTGATAAATTGTATAGGTTATTGGGCTTATTAGCTTCAAGAATGGATATAGTTTAATTTTATAAAACCAAACTACTACATGGACCTCTAAAAACTTTTTAAGTGTTTGGGCTAAATTTTAGTAGCAAAATTTGAAATGTAGGCCCTATTAACTAAACGAGCCTGTTCACGAGCTTGGCGAGCCGAGCTCATCATTGCTCAAGCTTGGCTCGTTTATTAAATGAGCCTGGAAAATGAGCTCGAGCAACGAACGAGCCTGAGCCGAGCTTTTAACGAGCAGAGCCCAAGCTGTTCACGAACAGCTCGGTTCATTTGCAGCACTATACAGCATGCGTGCTGTACCGCAAAGGATCCCAGCTCGAGTACAATATGTTTGTGGATGGATCTCTGCTGGATCCTTTAGGGGAGGTTCTTGGTCTTTTGGTTGTTTATTGATGGCCTCTGTTGGGCTGTCATATATTGACCAAGGTACTGCCCTCGTAGTCTGTCATTTATGGCAGTCACCTAGAGAACTCTAAACAGCTATGGCATTAGACTTACATGCAGATTGCACTATAATCTTCATGTGTTAGAAAATTTTATTTATGATTTTCAACGCTGCCTCTTAATTTGTATTTTCTTTTTCTTGAAATGCCAACATTCTGTTTTAACTTAACCAGCTGCTCCTTCACCTTCAAGTCAATATTTTCTTAGTTTTGAACACTTTGAAAGCGAGTCAATAGCTTGAACTTCTCATGCTTATTGAATTTTGCATAAATTTTAGTTATGAGTTCCAAACTCCCTCATAATTTGTTTTTTCTTTTTCTTGAAATGCTCACATTCTGTTTTAAGTCAACCCAGCTAGCTGCTCCTTCGCCTTTAACTTAAGGATTTCTGAATTTTAACTCTCTTGAAAACAATTAATTCCCATTCCTACAGAAAGGTAGGTTGGTTCTCATCTTCTTGTGAATATTTATGAATTTCTTTTCCACATGAGCTTGCAGTTGGTTGCTGTGCTTCATGAGTTTTGCTCTCTTAAATTTCACTTTTTGAACTGCCTTTACATTTGCTCTCAGAGATCAAAGATATTTGCCATGCTCAACCATCTTGTACCATTTACAGTCTTTGGCACCTACGCATATGGTAAAATTTTTAAATATTATCATCAAAAACTTTCTTATACTATATCAAACAAGGACATTCAAAAAGAAAATCACACTTAGAATTACATGTGTGTGTGTGTGTAACTATTCTGGCTGTGTGCTTCAACATTAAATTCAGATGCAAGCAACTCCCTTTCCCACTTTAAATCTTCACTTATTAAGTAGTCAATAGTCATAAAAGAGTTTTTTTTTTAACAACTAGAGTTTGACTAGCGAGTTTTGAGTGTTTTGAAGTTGACTGAAGATCCTGTTTTATTTTATGGAAAAAAGGAAAAAGAACAATTTTTTTATGCATCCAAAGTTGTTTGAAGGTCATATTTTATTTTATGTGGGAAAAAAATCTTTATGTTCCCAAAGAAAACTCACAGTTGCTTGTCAATCTAGCATCATCATTTTGGTATACCCCAACTTATACACTGCTTCAAGGCTCTAGATACCTTATCGTATTACCTTTCTGATCAGCTTACAACCAGAGCAGTAGAGAAAGATCCTTTGAGAAACCGGGCCCCACATTTTCTTTGTGGATCACTGATTGAGGAGGAATCTGGTCTTACAGTTATCAATCCATTGCCTGACACCCCTTTTCCAATGAAGAAGTCACTGAATGAGTGGAGTAATACCCCAAGAACTATGCGTGGGTTCTTAGCTAAATCAAACCAAGCAAAAAGAGCAATGGAACAAATGGCCAAAGATCAAACATCGGATGATCAATCACAAGGTAATTTTTGACGGTTTCTTTATGATGTATGCATTTTGCCTCGTAATTTTCACTATCTCATTCACCATCTCATTCTAGTTCTCCATCTTGTTTCAGTTCCATCAAAGAAGAGCAAACAAACACCAAAATCCAAGAAAAAACCTGAAGCTGATCTAGCGTTGGTATGCAGAGATGTGGAACCAGACAATGTGCAAAGGGACGATTATGTGAAGGGGGAGGTTGGGAATGAATTCGAAGTTTTTCCTCCGAAGATCATTGCAATGCATCGAGTAAGATGGAATATGAACCGGGGTAGTGAGAGGTGGTTGTGCTATGGAGGAGCCGCTGGTATTGTACGGTGTCAGGAGATATAAAGATCCAAGCATTGTAGTGTTGTACGCTTAAAGGTTCCCTTATCATGCTTTATATTTTTTTATGTATTCTGTTCATTAGATTTCATGTTTTAAGCTTATTTCTGATATCAACTCAAGTGTGCTTTTTAGTTGGGAGTACCAATTATCACAAACATTTTTCTTTTTAAGTAGGTTGAGTACTGACGGCCGGTTTGGGTAAGTAAAGGACATTCCTTAAAGTGTAAAATGTCATTCATATCCTTATTTATTTTAATAATAATTTAATAAATAAAAAAATTGTCAAATCAAAAGAAATTATTATTTTTTTTTTCGCAACTTATAAAAATTATATTACCTTACCCCCTTTTTCCCAAAAAAATAAAGGCAAAAAAAAGACAAATCAAACCCTAAAAAGATACCTAAACCTAATCAAATGTCATTAATAAAGAAAAATAACGTTTTTGTGAAGTTTAATAAAAATATTTCGATGTAAAACACCCCATTTTAACGAAGTTTAAAATTACCCAGAAAAAAAAGTATATATCATATATATATATATATATATTAGGAAAAGGCACATGCAATGCACGTGGTGAATTTTTGTAACTTATAAAATTTTTGTCTTTATATTGATTAATAAAAATTTATTTTATATTAATAAATAAATACTGAAATATTTTGAAATTGGTGATAGAGTTTAAGTTTCATAAATTAATAAATTCTTTTATGTTTTTATATTAATACTGAAATATATATTTTATTTTTTATTTTAATAGTGAAATATTTGAGTTTTGCAAAGTAACAAATTTTTTTTAGGTAATTTGAATATTATTAGGTAATTTGTAATTTGAATTTTATTAGATAATTTGAAATTCAGAATAATTTTTAATTTACAATAGAAATTCAATTATCTTAATTTTTTTAAAAAAATTAAGAAACAGAAATTCAATTATACTAATTATACATTAGATTGAAATTGATATAAAAATTTATTATATGGAGTTTGTGGTTTTTGGAAGACCCTAGGTTATATTTTATTTTCTTTAAATATGTAATTTGTGGTAGAATTTTATAGAAATTATTTTATTTTATTTAGATATATCTTTGTAAAATTAGATTTTCTTTTATTAAAAAACTCATAAAAAATATATAAATACAAGAGTTATATAATTATATGTGATAGAGTTTTCTTTTTGTATTAATTAATAAAAAATTTTTATATTAAAAAATAAATACTGAAATGTTCAAATTCTTTAACATTTATATTTTATTTATATCTATTATTATATTATTATATATTTCCTTTAAATATATCCTTATCTAATGTGATAGAGTTATAGAAATTGTTTTATTTTCTTTAAATATATCCTTGTTTAATTAGATTTTATTTTATTAGAAAACTCATAATAAATAGATAAATACAGGTTATGCGTGATAGAGTTTTAAAAAAAATAAAATACTTAATTTGGGGTAAAGTTTTGGTAATTTGTGTTAGAGTTTTATAAAAACTATTTAAATATATCCTTATCTGATGTGATAGAGTTTCATTGCAAATAAAATAGGGAATTTGTGATAGAATTTTATATAAATTATTTATTTTCTTTAAATATATATATTCTTGTTTAATTAGATTTTTTTTAATTAAAAAAATCATAATAAAAGATAATTTGTGGTAGAGTTTTAGAAAAATTATTTTATTTTTTATACCAATTATTAAATATTTTTTATATTAATAATTCTTGTCTAGTTATATTATATTTTATTAAAAAATTCATAATAAATACATAAATAGGTAATTTTTATTAGAATTTTATATAAACTCTTTTAAAAAAATATTTTATTTTCTTTAAATATATCGTTGTCTAATTAGATTTCCTTCATCAAAAAACTCACAATAAATAGATAAAAACAAGTTATGTGTGATAGAGTTTTAAAGAAAATAAAATAGATAATTTGTGATAGAGTTTTATAGAAATTATTATATTTTCTGGAAATCCATTTATAATAAATAAATAGGTAATTTGTGTTACAGTTTAATAGAAATTCTTTGAAAAACACTTTTTATATCAATTAATAAATATTTTTTTATATTAATAATTTTTGTCTAATTAGATTTCCTTTTATTAAAAAATTCACAATAAATAGATAAATAGGTAATTTATGTTAGAGTTTTATAGAAACTCTTTTCAAACCTCTTTTTATATTAATTAATAAATATTTTTTATCTTAATAATGCTTGTCTAATTAGATTTTCTTTTATTAAAAAAACTCATAATAAATAGTTAAATTGGTAATTTGTGATACAGTTTTATAGAAACTCTTTTAAAAACTCTTTTTAGATCAACTAATAAATAATTATTTATATTAATAATACTTATCTAATTAGATCTCCTTTTATTAAGAAAAACACTTAATAAATATATAAATAGAAAATTTGAGTTAAAATTTTATAAAAACTCTTTAAATATTATATATTTGTGTACTGTGATAGAGTTTTATTGATAATAAAATTTATGATTTATGATAGAGTTCTATAAAAATTATTTTATTTCTTTAAATATATCCTTGTTTAATTAGATTTAATTTTATTAAGAAACTCATAATAAAAGTTAATTTGTGGTAGAGTTTTAGAAAAATTATTTCATTTTATATATCAATTAATAAATATTTTTTATATTAATAATTCTAGTCTAATTAGAATTTCTTTTATTAAAAAATTCATAATAATAAATAGATTAACTTAAATTTTATTAAATAGATTTTAGAGTTTGATTGACATTTTTTTTTATATAAAAACTCTTTGCATATCAATTAATAAATATTTTTTTTATAAAAATAGACAGTTAAATACTGAAACTCTTTGCACATATAATATAATATAGATAAAAACTTTTTTTATATTAATTAATAAATTTTTTTTTTATAAATAAATAAATACTTAAACACCTTGCCACAACTTTTGTACTTTACTCAGAAAATTAGGTTTTCTTTTATTAAAAAATTCATAATAATAAATAGGTTAATTTGAAATTTATTATGTAGATTTTAGAGTTTTATAGAAGTTTTTTTTCTATAAAAACTCTTTTCATATCAATTAATAAATATTTTTTTACATAAATAAATAAATACTGAAATACTGAAACTCTTTCCACGTTTAATAAATATTTTTTAAATAAATAAATAAATACTGAAACTTTAGATTTACTTTTATTAAAAAATTTCATAATAATAAATAGATAAATAGGTTAATTTGAATTTTATTAGGTAGATTTTTGAGTTTTATAGAGTTTTTTTTTCTTTTTTTTATTTATTTTTATAAAAACTTTTTTCATATCAATTAATAAATATTTTTTATATAAATAAATAAATATTAAAATGCTGAAACTCTTTGCACATTTAATATTTTATTTTCTTTAAATATATCCTTGTCTAATTAAATTTAATTTTATTAAGAAACTCATAATAAAAGTTAATTTGTGGTAGAGTTTTAGAAAAAATATTTTATTTTATATATCAATTAATAAGTATTTTTTATATTAATAATTCTTGTCTAATTCAATTTTCTTTTTATAAAAAAATTCATAATAATAAATAGATAAATATGTTGATTTAAATGTTATTAGATAGATTTTGGAGTTTGATAAAGTTTTTTTTAAAAAAAAAAAAAATACTTTTCATATCAATTAATGACTATATTTTTTTATAAATAGATACTTAAATACTGAAATTCTTTGCACATTTAATAGTAGTATGGATAAAATCTTTTTTTATATTAATTAATAAATATTTTTTTATATAATTAAATAAATACTGAAATAGTTTGGTAGAACTTCTATATTTTACTCTGAAAATTATATTTTCTTTTATTAAAAAATTGTAATTTGTAATACGTGTTAAAGTATGATAGAAAATATTTTAAAACTCTTTTTACATGAATTAATAGATATTTTTATATTTTAATAATGTCTATTTAATTAGATTAGCTTTTATTAAAAAAAAAACTCATAATAAAAGGTAATTTGTGGAAAAATTTTAGAAAAATTATTTTATTTTTTATATCAATTAAAAATATTTTTTATATTAATAATTCTTGTCTACTTAGGTATTCTTTTATTAAAAAAACTTATAATAAATAAATAGGTAATTTGTGTTAGAGTTTAATATAAACTCTTTTAAAAACTCTTTTTATATCAATTAATAAATATTTTTTATTTTAATAATTATTGTCTAATTACATTTAGTTTCATTAAAAAACTAATAATAAATAGATAAATAGGTAATTCATGTTAGAGTTTTTTAAAAACTCTTTTAAAACCTCTTTTTGTATCAATTGATAAATAATTTTTTATATTAATAATACTTGTTTAATAGGTTTCTTTTTATTAAAAAACTCATAATAAATAGA